GCCCCCTACAGGATAAAAAAACAGCAGCCCCGGCGCCACATTTCACCGATATGTACGAAACTTGGTAGGCATGTTTAACATGCTGAGACGTACAAAAAAGCCTCTTGGACCCATACCCGACACCCCACAGGAAGTCGGCCATTTTGATTTAAAGTTTCGATTTCGGCGAACTTTTCGCGTTGTATTTGAATGAACTCCTCCTAGGGAATTTATCGGATATGCTTCAAAATTTGTGAGTACACTCAAAAAATGGTCCTGATTAAAAGTTGTGCTATTTGTGCATGTACGTTGAAGGGCGTGTCCGTGGCGTGGCATCAAAGTCAGCCATTTAGATTTTTTTGGTCATTTTCTGTGATTTTTCGCGTTGTATTTGAACGAACTCCTCCTAGGGAATTTATCGGATCTACTTCAAATTTAATCAGCGCAATCTAAAGACATTCATGATTAAAAGTTGTGCTAATTACGACATTCCGTCAAACGGCGTGTCCGTGGCTTGGCATCAAAGTCAGCCATTTTGCATTCAGTGCTCATTTTCTGTGATTTTTTGCCTTGTATTTGAACGAACTCCTCCTAGGGAATTTATCGGATCAACTTCCAATTTAATCAGCGCAATCTAAAGACATTCATGATTAAAAGTTGTGCTATTTACGACATTCCGTCAAACGGCGTACCCGTGGCGTTGCGTTGAATTTCGACCATTCACCATAAACAGATAGTACTCCACTTCAGTGTACAGTCCCACCCTGAACACGTCCTCATAACTTCAGCGTTCATGATCCAATCTCAATGAAACTTCACGTGTTTGATAACAGTCCCACTCTGAACACGTCTACATGACAATATTCAGACATAGTGATAGCGCCACCTACTGGCAATAAGAAGTAAGCGCTGCGTGGCGATTTTGGGCTGCGTTACGATTTTGAGCTGCGTCACGTGAAAGGACCGTGCCGGTGACGACTTGTCGAATTCAGTGGATTCGCCATGAAATAGCACTCATAACTTCAGTGTGCATTGTGCAATCTCCAGTAAACTTCATATATTCTGTAACAGTCTCGCCCGGAACACGTCCTCGTAACTTCAGCGTACGTGGTCCAATCTCAATGAAACTTAATGTGTGTTACAACAGTCCCGCCCTGAACTTGTCTACATGACAATATTAAGACATAGTGATAGCGCCACCTACCCGCAACAGGAAGTAAGCGCTGTGTGGAGATTTTGAGCTGATTTACGTGAAATTTCATGTTTTGGTCCGCACGTGTAACGACGGCATGCGACGCGGCCGCAGCACGCCCCGAGTTGCGTGGAGTGCGAGGTCCCGCTCAACGCTGCTTGCAGCTTTAATTCAATATTTGGGTTTAATTTAGGTTAATTGCTAAAAATGTCCAGATGAAGACATTAATTTTGGTATTACATAATGCACCATGTTATTAAATTTTACCACAAAATGTAATAATTTATTTCAAAATGCTGGGAAATGTATAACATATTTGTCATTTTGTGTTTCATAAGATATGCCAAACAGTGGATCTTCAAACCTACAAGGTTTCAGTCTTGTGTATTCAAAGTCTGTTTGTTTTTTTATTTTTACTTAGACCTCCCTGTTTTTACTTCATCCTGCTTTGGATGTCTTTCCATCACCTCACTCTGGGCTGCTTCTGCATGTGTTTTGTCCAGATGAAAAAAAAAGTCTGCATCCTCAGTCATATTATACTCCTATTTAGCAATGTATTTTGTATTTTTATGTCAATCTGATCTTTCCTTCTTTCTGTAAAACGAAATGTGACGCGTGCTTACATCAGCATTTACTTACTGATTTAGATTAATAATATCATGACATTCACCTGTTAATAAATATTGAACTTTTAGCGACACAGAGAAACAGCGACATTTAGCCATCTGGAAAATTACCTTGCTACCGCTGTCACCAAACTGTCCTGAAGTTGTGTTCACTGGGAGGCAGCTGAGCCCCAATCGATTACATGCTAAAAGCAGCTATATTAGTCGGAGGACATCAGAGGGAAAACCAGAATATATTTCCTCCATTGAATATGATCCAGTTACACCCAAATCACTGATAAAGTTGTGCTTTTATACAAGTGATAACACTGTGTTTTTATACAATATTCAGTGAGGTCCAGCCCCCCAAAACACTCTTACACTCAGGTAGCAAGCCATACTGTTGCTAATCAGCTAACTAATTAACCTTTGCTCTGCGTGCTAAAAGTTGATTATTGATTGACAGGTGAATGTCATAATATTATTGGTCAAAATCAGTTAGTACATGCTGATGTAAGCACCAAGAGTGAACCTCTCATCTTGTCACCCATTGGTTAGTGGAGTACCATTTTGAAGCCTCGAGTTTATTATTTTGGCTGCCACCATGTTAGATGGAGCCAGTACAAGCGGAGGTGACTAAGGCGCCCGGTATACTCGCCGCAGTCGACATGTCGCGCAACAATGTGACTTCAAAATGATGTAGATCTCGCTGGTGCGCCAGGATTTTGGCCCGGTCGCGCGATGTCGCGCCTCACCGCAAACAGGAAGATGGACGATCTGTACGATCCTTTAATGAAGGAACACAGAGATGCCCTAGAGGTGCCAGAATTCATGGCGAGAAATCGCCATGAATGTTGGAAAAGAGGAGGACATATGCTGAAAAATTTGGAAGAACCTCCGCAACCGATTTTGAAAAAAAAAAAAAATTATTTTCTTCTTCTTCTAGTGAGTAGAAATAGCAAAGTCGGTAGCCTTTCCTCACTAGCGACATCTCTGTTCAGGAGAAGACTGCAACTAGGGCTGATACCACCACGCGCAAGTATATAGTCACGGCGCTCCCGTGACGTCATGTTGTCATTGGTCTGCGGCGAGTATACCAGGTGCTTTACTGCGGGTTGATCTGCACTCACTGTCTGTGCAGTTGTGACTTGTCAGTAACAGGAAACAATGGCAGCTCGCCCAGTCACACACAATCTCGTATTACAGCTAAACAGTACACTAAAATAAGACACATTTAAGACTTTGATATAAAAATACAAAGAAATTTAATTTTTATAATTTTTGTTTCTCAACTATTACTGTAGACTAACAATAATTGCTATTGTGGATTAACCACAAACCTTGGTAGTGTATAAGCAGTGAAGCTCCCACACACACACACACACACACACAGCATATACATATACAAACGCTGCAAAACATTTAATAAAAAAAAAAATTCAATTAAGTTCAACAATTTTTGTTGTAATTGTTTTAACTCGCTGATGATGGAGATTTTTGAGGTTGTAATTTATTTAGTAGTTTGTATTTAGTCCATCACATTTATATGAATAAGGGCACTGTCGGGCTCTACGACGTAGGGTGTTAGAGTGGTCTAACTGTAATAGTTTAATCAATAATGGTTATCAAAAATTATAATTATCAAAAGATAATAGAAAATGACTTTAATTAATATTAAAGATCCTCGGGGCACCACCCTTAAATAAGGGAACGATAACCAATAATCGATTGATCGGTCTCATAAAAATTACACTAAACTATTAATTCAGAAATCAGATTAATAATAAACTACACCCAAAATCATTAATAATAGCTAGAGTGGGAGCTTTGGAGTTCTACATAGAAGAGGTTGGTATCACTCACTCTTGTACGAAATTATATAGGCCAGCATATGTAAACACAAACATTTATTAACCAGATATAATAAAATGTGTGTGTGTGTGTGTGTGTGTGTGTGTGTGTGTGTGTGTGTGTGTGTGTGTGTTTATGGGGGTCATAAAGGGCTTATGTCCTGTGTCCTCCGACCAGATGTTTCAGGGTGTGAAACACGGGTTGGTGAGAGACAGAGCAATAGAGATGCGGGAGGTTTTGAATCGCTCTCCACGTGTATATACCTAGACCAAATATGTGAAGCATTAAACTAACATCACCTTAGACTACAGTTACTACAGTAACCTCAGTTAATCACATCAACGTCACAATACCACAGTAACCTAAATAAAACACATCAGCAACATTAATTAACATTAACAATAATTAAACAGTCCTTGTTTAGCCGTTAACTCTGTTAATTGTCTGTCTATGCCCAGTACGTTACCAACAGTCCAATGGAGATGAAAAAGAGTTTCGGGTGAGCAGCATAGGTCAGCCAGTGGTCCTGTGAGCCAGGCTGATCAGAATCTGAAGTCCAAAACTGTCTCTGTTGTGCGATGTCCGCTGGTGCAGGTATCGCAGGAAAAAGCAGACTTTTGTGCCGTGCTAAAATCCTTTTGTCGTGCGTCGTCGGTGTGTCAGGCCGAGGTCTCTGACCAATGACGGGCTGGTGTTTGGCTGTTTTATTGCCTTTATGACACACCCTGGCCGCATTCCGGGACCCCTCCGCAGAGGGGTCTGTTATCTGGTGGGCGTGTTCCCTTTGTCTTTAGACTACTACAAGAAAAGTTTTATGGCTTACATACAGGAGAATTCCTTATTTTCTGAGCACATAGTCAGATTCCAACATGTTCCTTTGTGTTTCAGTTAAACACTTCAAATGAACAAGTTCATATTGAAAGATATCCTTGGATCCCAACAGCACTCTAAACAGTATTTATATAAGAAATACATGTCAAGAAAGAAAAAAAAATGTCTTGAGTGCAGTGACTTAGTGCAAAACAATACGTGGTGAAAAAGTTAGTGTTGCGCATTGTAGTATAACTCTCATGCATCCTGCTGTAAATATATGCCCAAATTTCCAATAGAACAGAATAAAATTACACATGATCTGTCTTTGTTTTGATATCGGCATTATACATCAGCCATTGCCTCTGCCTTTAAGTTTCAGCTTTCACACTACCATAGACATATTTGCTTCTAAAGCATTTCAGAATTGTGTGTGTGCTGTAAAATTGGGAAACACTGAAAACTGCCCAATGAAATATGCTGGTTTTTGTTAAGAAAATATGCACAACACATAATGTTCAACATTATGTACAAATATATTTATTTCTCTTTTTCTTTCTTAGCTATGAAAATAAAACTTCTCATGATGTGCTTGGCTGCTGCACTCATGGCAGGTATGACTGTCGCAGGCCAGTAATATTATTACTGAGTTCTATCATGGTTTATTTAAGTTTATAAAACCTCTCTTCTCTTCTCTTCTCTTCTCTTCTCTTCTCTTCTCTTCTCCTCTCCAGTATGTCATGGTTGTGCTACAGGAAAGGAGTTCATCACAACATTTCTTCCTAACTACCAGCGTACTGCTGAAAAAGACCACCGTCTCCATGTGGTTTTGACTGCTCACGGGTCTGAAGCCAGTGTTCATATACAGGTGACTGATATTTTTAATCAAAGGTCGACACTGCAACACTGCAACACTGCAAAAAAAGGTTTTACAGGTTTAATTTTTAAAATCCTTTTGCACGTTTCCTGAAACCTGTCTGTTCGAATCAAACTATAGCCTCAAAACTATTTATCTGTGCAAACAATGCTTTAATACATACAGCCACTACTGAGCAGTCATTATACACTACATCAATTACATGTAGTACATGTACACATGATTACATGATTTTGTAAATTAAATTTTTGTGCTACACACTAACTTGGAAATTTCTGAACTGCATTGTTATACGTTTTTTTTTATCATATGTGGACTGCTCATATGATTGTATTTTCTTCCCTTTGATAAATCAGGACTGATATTTGCATAAAAGACATGGTTACCTCCTACATTGTGTAGTACTATATAACAATAATTGTCTGCACCGGTACGCTGCAGACAATTATTATTTGTATGTTATGGAGCTAACTTAAATAACTCAAGACCAGAAATGACCCAGGATACCTACAGCGTGATTATTCAAAGCATAGGGCCACTGAAAAGCTGTATTTAAGTTGGGAGTGACAGTGGGCTGGTATGTTTTAAGGTTGCCTCTGATTGTTTAACAAATCCAGGCTAATCTGCAGGTGGCTTCAGTGGATTTCTCCAGGCAGCTGACCCTCTCTGCAGGTGAAAGCCGGTGGGTTTCTCTTCCATGTGGATCTGAGCTGCAACAGCAGTTTGTTACTCCAAACTCAGCAGTACGAATCTCATCTAGTGCTGAAATCTCTGTGGTCTCTTTCAACCGTCGCCACGCCACGGGAGATGGCACAGTGGTTTCCCCAACAGCAGAGCTTGGTACTGACTACTTTGTGTTCACACCCTCAGGAAGCATTAAGTACATGGACAGGCTACTGGCTATCGTTAATGGCAATAGCTACAACCAGATCACCATCTTACCTGGTGCTGATGTGTTGCTAAGAGGTGGATCTAGGTGGCAGCGTGGAAAAGCAGTGACTGTTATCCTGGCACCCTATGCATCCTACCTTGTACGAAGTCATAAAACATTGACAGGCATGCGGATTCAATCTCAGAATCCTGTAGCGGTCTTGGCAGGCCACCAGTGTCTGTCTTTGGGTTTGAAGTGTGAACATGTGTATGAACAGCTTCCTCCTTTGGCAAGCCTTGGTAAAGAATACATGGTACCCACGACCAGCAACTGTAAGGCCATAAACTGGGCAGTGATAGTAGCTACTGAAGACAACACTGAGGTGACACTGCACAAGGGAAAACTCTTAAACAAACAGTTAAGTTTCTATTATATTATAATTCTATTATATTCATTCTAATATACTGTTGAAGCCACATGGTCTGGTATGTCCACCTATCCATCCAAATGCACACATACTCATCATCCATTTATCCATCTAACATATAATGACACTGTGTACGCTGAAAAATATAATGTAATATAAATGTTTTAATACATCAATTAACTCTCCTAAAGCACATGTGAGAAAACTGTCCCATTTCATGTTTTCCAACATGCAAAGGGAGCTCAATGCAGTGCAACAGGAAAATACAACCAAAACACAAGCAAATGCAGAAACATCTTCATCACTTTATCAACACACATGAGAAACAGTGCACAGACACACCACAGAACTGAGTTACATTAAAAGTTTCCATGCTGGTAATTACAAAAGGCCTAGTGCTCAGCATGCTGTATGTCCTGTAATACTGGAAGCACACAAACTAAAATAAACATGATTTGCTAGTTTCACAACATCATTGACAAGTAGCCGAAGAGTCCTGAAACTTCTGTTGTGTTCTTTTGGATGTAATGTGCTTCTATGTCTTTCCATCTAATTATTTATTATAAATGAATCAAATTATTTTTCTCAGTTCATCTAAACTCAAACTACACTTCTAATCTAACCAACTAATTATATTACACTTACACCAACAGGAAACTAAGGATGGCTGGAGATGTCACCTTGCAGAAAGTGATCTTCAAACATCCACTGGTTGTCGAGAGTGACAAGAAAGTAATGGTGCTGCTTCTTAGCAACAATAAACCAAATGACCCTTTTCTGATAACGCTGACTCCTACCTGCAAGCTTGCTACTGATTGGGCAGTTGAGACAGTGGGCGGGATTCCCAGTACTGTTGCCATCCTGTCAGAGAGGGAGGGGGCAGGTAGTGTGAAGGTGTGTCTTAAGGCTCGGTGCCTTTCACCTAAGTGGATAAACTTCTTGTCAGATAAGCGCTGGGTGTGGTCCAATGTACCAGTGGGGAAAGAGCAGAGTCATGTGACAGTGGAAGGTGATGCCCGTATGGCAGTCTACGTCTACGGTGGGAAATACCGCCATGCGTATGGCATTGCTGGAATTTGTTCTGAAGGTATACATACAAACTCACGTAGATTCCTGCTATAGTGCAGATACAGTATATGTATGTCAAGGGTGTGTTTATATTTCCTGTAGGTCACTCCACCCCTGCACCACCCACTGATCCATGTGAACAGGTAAAATGTCAAGTAAAGGAACGCTGTGTGAACGGAGCGTGTGTCCATATTTCCACATCAACCTGCCGTGTGATAGGTGACCCACACTACTTGACATTTGATGGCAGACGCTATGACTTCCAGGTAGAGTTGGCAGAGCTCACTGTCACTATTGCTTATACCAACTCTCATGCACTGTGCTGTCCACTTAGCAGGGGGTACAATTGGACAGTGTTGGACGATTGCGATTATCTATAGTTGTATAAAATTAAGTTTTTTTGTTATTTTGCTTGTCTGCTGGGTTAGCTATGGTCTGATACTGTAAATCCAACTCACTGTTCCTGATTCCTTTGTGGCTTTGAGAGATGAGGAACCAAAAATGTTTTTAATTTTCTTTGCTTCAGTTGTCTAATAACATGCCTTTCAGGGTTCCTGCACTTACATTATGGCAACAGTTGCAAAGACGGCATCTGACATTCTGCCTTTCACTGTGATGACCAAGAATGACCACAGAGGTAATCGGCGAGTTTCATTTGTGAGGACTGTAACTGTCAGTGTTCACAAGCAGACGATTGTCATAGGCGGAAACAGAAGACAAATACAGGTAAGAGATTCTATATTAAATCTTAATTTAATATTTAGTTTAAAAATAAACTAAACTAAACTATTAAGGTAACAAACTATACTTTTCATTAATATTTATGCAAATGTTACTTATATTCACACACATGTTTAAGTCACTTTTTAATTTTTACAGTATAGTCTATTGTCTATGTTTTTTGTCATTCTTAATGTGTGGCTCTATGCCCAGCAAAAGACATCCATCAGCTCTGTTAAGAATGTTTGCTCAAGAAATTTCTGATAATGAAAAGGAAAAATAATTATTTTATATAAAAGGACAACAAACATTATCTTCAGTTGTCATTCCTTATTGCAATGTGTCCACTTTGTGAAAACCCCTAAAATGATGAGATGAGAATGAGCTCTAATTTTACTTCCACTTGCTATACAATAACACTATTGTAGCTTGCTCAGCCAATAGTGGTTGGCCTGGCAATAAAGATGCTAGCAGGTGCTAATGCTAGCTTAGCTACCCTATAAGTCACATGAGCCTTGCAGGTCATGGGGGGACTTTAAATATTTCTCTGTTTAGAAATCATTTGCTGAGTTTTGTGCTGTGTGCTTGACAGACTCATTGAGAGTGACTTGTCGAGATAGCTACGCCCAAAAGCACATGTCTATTTTACTCTAAATTGGACCATAATTTACTCAATGAACATCATAATGTATCGAAGAAGACTTGAAACTACAATTGAGACCATAAACTCATTAGCAAACTGTTTACTACGGGAGGCTGTGGCTCAGAGGCAGAGCGGGTCGTTCCTTAATCGGAAGGTTGTGGGTTCGGCTCCTGGTGCCACATGTCGAAGTATCCTTGAGCAAGATACTGAACCCCAAATTGATGCCGTGCATCGGTGTGTGAATGTGTATGAATGTTAGTTTCTGTTCGATGGACAGGTCCATTTACCATTTACTAAGCTAATAAATCAAGTGAGAAGTCAGGACATTTCTCTATTAGAGTGCATGGTATAATTTTTTTTATTGCAGCCAATGGAGCTATCCATGTCGTCTTTACATAGAATTCAGGTTGCAGACACCTCTGCGTCAATTAAATAACCCATAAAAATGCCAAGAAGAAATCTATCCTCACCTTCTTTGTTTTGCTGCCCCTCAGTTGATGTCATGCCTCCCACACCATATCAAGGCCATAAGTCTGAAAAAGATACAAACCAAAATTATAAGATTTGAAAATGTAAAAATCTGAATCTGAATACATAATATCGACAACTGAAAATTAAATAAATAATCAAATTTCAACGTAGTGTAAAAGTGCTTTGAGTGGTCGGAAGACTAGAAAGGCGCTATACAAGTACAGGTCCATTTACCATTTACCATTTCCTGATATTTTCTGGGCAATCATGAAAGAATTTTCCAAACAAAAGAATTTACAAAACGACAACAGAAATACAGGGAAATGGATAAAATGCACAAACATAAAAACTCTCACAATATCTGAATATTGTCACATAGACGTGTTCAGGGCGGGACTCTTATCAAACATGTGAAGTTTCATTGAGATCAGATAATGTACACTGAACTTGTGAGGATGTGTTCAGGGTGGGACTGTTACAGAATGTGTGAAGTTTAGTGTAGGTTGGACATTGTACACTGAAGTTGAGTACTGTCTGTTTTGTAGTAAATGGTCGAAATTCAACGCAACACCACGGGCGCACTGTTCGATGGACTGTTGTAAATAGCACAACTTTTAATCATGAATGTCATTAGATTGATCCGATAAATTCCCTCGGAGGAGTTTGTTCAAATACAATGCACATCAAAATTTCCCGCCATGCCACAGACACGCCTCCTTCACCACAGTCAACACATATCATCAACAATGTGTTTTGCATTTTCTAAGTAAATTTCAGGTGGATCTGATCATCCTGCTAGGAGTAGAACATGAAAGTATAAAACATGATACTTCCCATTGCCACTAGGCGGTGCTCTCACTATTTCTGAATATTATCAAATAGACGGGTTCAGGGCGGGACTCTTATCAAACATGTGAAGTTTTGTTGCAGTCGGATCATGTACGCAGAAGTTATGACGAATCCCTCTTTCATGACGAAGGTTTGAAATTGCATGCCATGGGACGCCACGACACGGAGACAATGTTTGACGAAAAAAACTGAATAGCACAACTTTTAATGATGAATGTGTTTAGATGGCTGTGTCTAAATCTGAAGTCGGTCCAATAAATTCCTAGTTAGTTAGGAGTTAGTTCAAATACAACATGTGTAAATCGCCAAAATTGCGTACCAATTTTCGTACATGGCGACCTTACGTGTCGGCCTTACGTGTCTTATTTTCGCTCCGTTTGAAATTTGTGCAATTTTCCATGACTTTTCGAGCATGTTGCGGCCGCCAAATATGCGGTCGAAGGCGGCAAAAATAATAATTCCTTGCATTACAATAGGGCCTTGCACTGGTCAGTGCTCGGTCCCTAATAAGAAAAAGAAGAATTCCTTCAGTTACAATAGGGCCTTCGCACATTCAGTGCTTGGGCCCTAACTAGCATTGCCAAACCTTAGTACATGAGGGGGAGTTTGGTGTGGGGCTGGTGGACTGTGCTGGCAGAAACATATCATGAGTAATAGTGAAGACAGGTTTTAATGGCCATTGCTTACACCAGAATTAATATGATTGGACAAAATAGGTAGCTAGTAGTCAAGTGGCTGGTGAAGCATGAATGATGCAGCTGATGCCAATTAGCTAATAAAGCACAACTTCACAGTTCTGCTTGAATGTTGTGAACTTTTTAGAATTTCTGGTGCTTTTCACAAACTATCAACAGAAATTTCTCACAAGCTGACCTTGTGTTGCAATACAGTTACAGTTTTGTTATTACCTACAGGTGAATGGAGAACTCCAGTACTTGCCTGTCAGTTTGTTGGGTGGCCAGGTCTCCGTAAAGCAGAGTGGAGCCTATGCTTCCCTCAACACTGACTTTGGTCTAACTGTAAAATATGACTGGAACATGAGGCTGTATATCACAGTGCCATCCTCCTACTATCAACATCTCAGAGGCCTCTGTGGAAACTATAATGGGGACAGGAAAGATGACCTGCCTGAACCAAAAGGTGCGAGAGGGGCTTGAAAGGACAGTAGAAACAGAAGTGGTTGGATGGAACAAGTTGACGGCAGTAGCTTCACTAGTAAAAGTCGGTGGAGATTTATAAGTGACTGAGGACAATATTGCTGTTAAAGAAAATGCAAAAGCAACAGAGTGGTATATAAACATGACATGACTGCTGTTGTGCTGCTGGATACAATATCAAAATTTGCCATATACTTGATATATATCAATACAAATGTAAATTAATGAATTAATTTAATAAAGAAAGAAATAATAATTTGATAAAACAGGAGTAGATCAGAAAATGTGGCTTCTCACTAAAATATCAATTAAAGCCACATATTGTTTTGTATGGGTTCCAAGCACATCATTTGACATACAGTATATGTGCCATCTGTGTGAATAGACAATTAATTTGCAGATAAAACTGGCTTACATATATGTAAATGGGAAGCATTTTTGTACAGTACATGTTTGTGCAACCTCAATTTTGAACATATTTGAAACTGTTTTTTTACAACATTTTATCTCCAGAATCTAAACAAGTTGTTAATTAATATTGGTAGCATTTGTACAAATCATTCATCATTATTTGAGTTAACTGATTATGCAAATGTTGCTTGTATTGAAGCAAAGTTTCTTCACTGTAAGATATGTTGCAAAGAGAAATAAAATATTAAAAAATATATTTTAAGGCCCTCCCACAAACTCAATAACACCTGCTGACTGAGACATGAACAGAGATCACATTCATTTTAGAAAAAACATTAAGAAATTGAACTTTTGGTGCATGGTGTGTGTTGGGGATTAAAATGTTTTAAAGGGCCAAAATGTAATATAGCCTTCAATTTTCTGTCATGATCTACAATACATATTACTGACAAACTACTACAGTATGCTCTTTTCCACTCATGTTGGACATCATGCTTCCCAATTTCAATTTAATATCTCAATACACTTTAGAAGTAAATACCTTTAAAAGACATTATACTAAAATAAATGTAATCTGAAGTTCTGAACTGAGCTGAATGTCATCTTAAATTGTTCACTCACCCAGAAGTCCAAATTGTGTGATTTGGAATCATTAAAAAGCTTTCAGCAGCTGTTTTGTCTCTTACAGGATCCCGTTTCTCAGCTGTGCTGAAGATGATCCAGCAGTGGAAAGTGAATGATTCTGATTTGTTCTGTCATGATAACTGTGCTGGTCGCTGCCCCACATGTTCACTGCAGCAGCAGGCCCACTTCCGCCAACCCAAACTCTGTGGGATTCTGACAATGGCAGATGGACCATTTTCAGCCTGTCACAAAAAAGTTGACCCCACTTTGTACTTGGACAACTGTGTTTATGATGTCTGTGTCAATAAAGGTAAGTAATAACTGAAGCTCACAATTTTGGCACACTGTTTTGCTAGATGGAATTCACTTAGTACCTTTACATTGTAACAGGTAGTAAATATCTAGCTTCTGGAGTTGTGAGAAACCTACTATGGAAGCCCATTTCCACGTATATGAGGGAAAAAAAGGATTATTTATAGAAACCTTTTTAAAATAACTTAGTATCTCAATATTTTGACTTAGTATTTCAAAAAAATGAGAAACTGTCAAAATTTTTTGACTTAGTATTTCAAAAAAATTAGAAACTGTCAAAATTTTTTGACTTAGTATTTCAAAAAAATGTATCTAAATATAATGAGAAGCCTAAATTAGAATAGGCCTGTATGTTGTTTCCTCATATGCTCCAAAGCAGAAGAAACAAGTGAATGAGACAAAGTTTGGTAGACCAAATGGATACTGTCATTGAAGACTACTTCAGATGTGGATTCACAAATTGCTTTAGCCGTTTTGGAGGAATACATAATATCAGAATCAGAATCAGAATCAGAATTTGTTTATTGCCAAGTAGGTTTTTATGCCTACGAGGAATGTGACCTGGTGCAGTTGGTACATAAAAATATATACATATACAAATACAAATATACAAATATACAATTATTCAAATTTAAATCACACAGAAATCACACAGAAATCACAAAGGAAAATAAAGTACTTTCAAAAAATAAATAGATAAAGATAAGAAGAGAAAGAGAAAGCTGAGCAGAAGAACGTAGGTGCATTAATGTAATGCATACTGTATATACAGGGTGGGTATAAGAGTCAATGACAGTGGGTAATCTGGGCCTTGTTAAGGAGGCCAGCTGCCGACGGGAAGAAACTGTTTTTATGGCGAGACGTTTTAGTCCTGATGGACCGCAGCCTCCTGCCAGAGGGAAGTATCTCAAAGAGATTGTGACCGGGGTGGGAGGGGTCAGCCACAATCTTACCTGCACGCTTCCTGGTCCTAGAGGTGTACAGGTCCTGGAGGGATGGCAGATTGCAGCCGATCACCTTCTCAGCTGATCGAATGATACGCTGCAGTCTGCCCTTGTCCTTGGCAGTGGCAGCAGCGTACTAGATGGTGATGGATGAGGTGAGGATGGACTCGATGATGGCAGTGTAGAAGTGCACCATCATTGTCTTTGGCAGGTTGAACTTCTTCAGCTGCCGCAGGAAGTACATCCTCTGCTGGGCTTTCTTAGAGAGGGAGCTGATGTTCAGCTCCCACTTGAGGTCCTGGGTGATAATGGTACCCAGAAAGCGGAAGGACTCCACAGAGTCAACTGGGGAGTCACACAGGATGATGGGGGCGGGTGGGGCTGGGTTCTTCCTAAAGTCTACAACCATCTCCACTGTTTTCAGAGCGTTTAGCTCCAGGTTGTTCTGGCTGCACCAGGTCACCAGATGGTCAATCTCCCATCTGTAGGCGGACTCATCTCCACCAGAGATGAGCCCAATGAGGGAGGTGTCATCCGCGAACTTCAGGAGCCTGACGGACTGGTGACTGGAGGTGCAGCTGTTAGTATACAGGGAGAAGAATATCAAACGAAGTCTCCGGACCCTTGAGAGAAAGTTAAGAAGAAGAAGTGTATGTATGATTACGTATAAAAAGATTGAAAACGTTTTTCATTATTTTGAGATACAAAGTCAAAATGTTGAGATACTAAGTCATTATTTTGAGGAAGTTTCTCATTATAATGACTTTTTTTGGGCGGCTGTGGCTCAGTGGCAGATAGTCCATAGTCCATAGTAACCACATGTCCACTAGTTAAAAAATAAAGTTGCTATTCTTCTGTGCATTCACTGTCACTATAACTGTTGCCCGACATAGAAAAACCCTTCTGGATTTGATGCAATCGGATATTGCTTTATCATTTACTTTTTTGCAGGATTGGATATTTTCAGTGGAATAATGGCATATCTTTTTTTTTTCAGCAGTTACACTACAGTCTACTAGTCTCTACTACATTTTTAATTATTTAATATTAATTATGTGTTAATGGGTCTGTTTTTTTGTCCAGGTGCAAGACAGATTCTCTGTGACAACTTGAAGAGTTATGATGATGCCTGCCTGTCAGAAGGAGTAAAAGTCAGCCCTAAGTGGAGAAAGGTTTCCAAATGTTGTAAGTCAGTTAGCAAAATATTATTCCTTGTCACAACACTGTCACAACTGCGAGTGCTATAACTATCATAAACCATGATGCAAAATGAAGAGGCTCTAGTTTCACAACAGTGTTTAAAAGTCAAGGTAGATCCAGTAGTAAAGGACTGAAAAGGTGGGGCTGATTAAATAAGCTCTGTCGAGGTACACTCATCCCATCATTTGAAAAGAGGGATGAAAAAATATGACACCTATATAGTAAGGTTATTATTGTCTACCTGGAAGATGCACACCCTAACTGAAGTACACTCTCATGGTATCTGTGTAGCAGAGTGATGAGAATTTTTCCTCCTTACTCACAGAGATGCTGGGCCCTCTGTTCCATGATTTAAAGATCACAAATGCAAAAAAAATACTTTTACCAAAAAGATCTTCCCGAAATTAATTTAGAATTCAATTCAATTCAATTTTATTTGTATAGCACCAATTCATAACAAAAATCTCAGGACTTTTCAAATAGAGAAGGTCTAGACCGTACTTCTTATAACATTATTTACAGAGACCCAACAGTTTCCACCATTAGCAAGCACTTGGCAACTGTGGCAAGAAAAAAACTTCATTTTAAGAGGCAGAAACCACACATGGCAAAAGCCGTCACGGACAAAAACTAAGTCATTGACATGCATATGCCGATGCACATCGGAAGCAAATTGGGGTTCAGTTAATCTTGTTCAAGGAAACACCAACAAGCAGCGGGATGAGCCAGGGATCAAACAACCAACCTTCTGATTAGTGGATAACCCGCTCTACCTCCTGAACCACAACCCCACCACTGGCCCCAACTAGCTAGTGGCAGCAAGTGACTCCCTGTGAGAGAATAGGTCTCTGTTGCAACAATCCCCTGATACTTTTATCAGAGCGAGAGAGAGTGCAGTCATGTGCTGTTTCCTGTCAGACAGGAAGTCTGTGATCTACCTGCAGGTGGAGTCAGGCACTGTGAGCTGGGAGAGCTTGTCCTGTAACAGAGCTGGGATGCTGGTGTTGAAAGCAGAGCTGAGGTCCACAAACAGGATCCTAGCAAGAAGAGGAGTTATTAACAATTCATATTTTAACTTTTAATTTTTGTTTGGCATGTCAAATAAAACACAGTTACGTTTCACTATGTCACTGATTTCTGGCTTAATGCCCCCTCACAGGGGGATATGGGATTGTTCCCCCCATAGCCTCTGATCTGCGAAGTCCAGTGTGTGTTTTGTGGACCTTTGTGAGTCTGGCTAGATATTCTGCCAGTCTGTGTCGGGATTCTGATAGAGTCTCTCCTGCGCCTGAATCCTGGATGGATTCTGTTGGTTGCATCTGTTGTTGTTGAGGCTGTTGCGGCTGCTTGTGGTGCCGGGTGGTCTTTTCATAGTGCCGGCTGCTGTCTTCTGGGTAGAGCCGAGTCCAGATCAGGATCTAGTTTGAGGCACTGAGACGTAGAGGTGTTTAGTGATGATTAGATAATATACTATTCTGCTCTGAGAACATTTCCTTTTTTCTTTCTTTTGCTTTGTTCCTCTATCCCTTCTCTTTTAGTTTTTACATTTGTAAATGTTTTATGCTAAAGCTGTCAGTGTTTGGAAATCTACTTTCTTTAACCCACATGTCAAGTTGGTCAGTACTTTGTTTACAGTTGGTTATAACTGAATGTCAAAAGGAGTAATAACGATGGAGCTATTGCTATTGGTTGAACTAATTTTCCCATTTAATCTCTTAAAACAAATTCCCCAAAAGGGATTCAGAATCATGCCTTTGTTGTTCTCTCAAAGTGATGTTGGTTTCACAACTTTTCTTTAAATTTAGAATTTGTCCATCTTCCAATTTACATGGACCTTGAAGCTCACTGTTTCAGAAAATACTTTTACAGGTCCAAAATGAATGTCCTTTTAATGTCCTCTTTTCTTTTCCTCTTAATTTTCTGCAGTTAAATATTCACTCTCTCTCCTTCCCCCCCCCCAATCCTTTCACACACATGCATGCAACTTAATGCAGCAGACCAATCCTTTACCTGCCCTGCTCACACATCTGTCACAACTCACACTCTAGTTGGTGAGAATCGATTACCCTGGGCCCCCCTGAATGCATTTACCAGAAAGACAGTCATCTAGGCCACCTGGTTCTTTGGATCACTGCGGTGAGCGAGCCTCAGTTCTCAGGCGTCAGGCCCTCACTTCTATACCCTTGTTTGGCGGGGAGGTTGAGGTCAGAGTCCAAGACTCTAGCCATGCACAGTCTTTACCTTCAGCCCTCAGTGACCGAAATCCTGTCACAGGAGTGATCCTGCCGACAACGCCAAAATGTGGTGGCAATTTGTTTAATAAAGCATACAAAGTATGATCTTGTCTTTCTGTAAAGTTTTATTCAAGTCATCCATTAATGGTTTCAACGCAACAGTCACACACTGTCATATTTGAAAGTTCGAAAGAGCCAAGATTGTAAAAAGTAGTATGGTTTAATCCCTGTTGGAGCATCACTCTAACACAGTTACACATTCCTGAGTTCTGGGACAGTAAACAGACAGATAGTGTGGTGCGATGATCATGTCCTTGGCTTCTTAGTGAAGTCTCAACATCCCACTGTTTACTTGAACATAGAGTGTAATTAGAAACAGGGCTAGAGGTTATATGCATATAATAGCCTCTTTAACAGTTGCGTATGGTTTTACAATGACCAGGTCAAAGAGTTGTTTAGGTTCTTAAAAATGTCCATTACAACACATAATAATTGGAGACAATAATGTTATAATATACTTATATGGCTTTATTGAAAGTTGCTGGTCCAATATGCAACCTCTACATGTGTGATGAGACTTGAAGCCACCAGTGCACATACACGGAAAATGGACAATAGGAAACATCTTGTGTCCAGCAGGAAAACTTTTAAATGAATAACATTTGCATATTCATAGATGAGGTAGAAGGAGTAGATGTCTTTTGAAGGATTTTAATGTTGAAATTATACTTTTTGCATAACATATCAGACACATTATTGTTGTGTGTGAGTATGTGTCTTATTACATATCTGGAGAGGAGTTTTAGTTAACATATACTGACTTTACCTGTCACCTTTTAATCAATTACATGTGGATATAAAAACTACACAATGGGAGCGTGATTAACAAAATGATCTGCCCTCTCCCTTGTCCCAGTCCTTTCCTGTCCAGCAGGTAGCCACTATGAGGCGTGTGGTTCAGCTTGCCCTGGCTCCTGTGTGTCCCCAGACAGTGAAGCGCAATGTAAAACACTCTGTGTGGAGGGATGCCAGTGTAATAAAGGACTGGTGCTTAGTGGAGACAGGTAACATAGCAATGATGCTACTCTTACTAATATGAAAATACTTACCCAAAAAGCCTTTAGAAGTTAAAGATTTCAGAACATTTATGCATGAAAACAGGTTGCCAGGTTTATGTTATGCAATCCTATATCCATACTAAGGCAGGCCATTGGTTTCCCCAAAAGACACCAGGTTCTTCGTGATCTTAACGTAACCCAAAATGTTTTTTAGTGTTCAGACAAAAATACATACAATTCTGAAGCATGACACAAAAGACAAAAGACAAGACAAGACAAGACAAGCAGCCATTTTGATCAGTAAAATCAAAGAAGTTTTAAGTCACTGTAAGTCACTGGTTTTCATAGAGAACCAGTGACTTACAGTGACTCCTCTCCTTGCTCAACTCAGTTTTCAGGGAAGCTGGCAAGTGCTGAGGACTCTCTGCATTTTATATCTGCATCATGATACAGATTGATTGGCTTAACCTGACAATTACATTTTAACCATAGCCCTGCTGTTTTGCCACTGAGATGCACCAGACCCTTTGTAGATAAAAGAGATGCAAAGAAGCTAGCAATCAATCACTGAACAACAAGTACAGCCACCACAACTAGTCACATTGTGGTCACAGGCGTTGGCTGAAGTTTCATGAAATGATCATTCTAGGGCTCCCTCGGGATAAATAAAGTATCTATCTATCTATCTATCTATCTATCTATCTATCTATCTATCTATCTATCTATCTATCTATCTATCTATCTATCTATCTATCTAGAGTTGGTCAATGCATTAAAACACACACATTTATTAAAGAGAACAATATGCCTGAAATCAACAATAGAATTCACTGTGAAAATATACCTAAAACATTACTGGACAACAGCAGAAGTCATACACAGGAAAAAGATCCTCAGTTAGCAGAACTGACTTATTAGCTGGTTAAGCCATAAAATACAAGAGCACAGTCTTGGGTGTGTGTTTCATGCATGTGGTGTACTCTATGTTTAATTACAATTAATTGTATGTTTGTGTATTTCAGATGTGTTTCTAAGTCTAACTGTGGATGTCAGTATCTGGGCAGATATTATCCATCAACCACTATTTTCTGGGGTGATAACACCTGCACCACCAGGTGTCAATGCCTTAATGGGAAAGCTGAGGTGTGTGTGAGAGAGAGACATATTTAAGGTCTCAGGATGATCTGTGTGAAGACCTATCACTATCAGTCACTATGCACAACACATATTGTGTACATAAGCTGCAGTGGACATGGCTTCAAATCCAACTTTCTTCTCATCCCCTCTTATTGTCTCATCTCATATACCTTACCATGTCTGTGTGGGCATTGGGAGTCCAATAAAACATGTTCACGAGCAAATTATGTTATTATACATGCAGATACTAACTGCTACTCCTACAGTGTAAGTCTTTCCGCACACCAGTGGTAAAACACTGCCCTTCAATCCACTTCCGGAAATTCTCTCACAATTTGAAGTCGGGTTTCATAAAAGATTACTGCAGTGCTAACTTTGAAAAGGAAGTTTAAGCTGTTCTGAAATATGTGGATATGGCTACCAATAGACGTCACATTACAGTAATTATTTCTCAGATTATATTACACATCATTGTCTGTTGAGGATGACCAAATAAGTTATTTTATGTGTTTATTATATATAATATAAAATAAAGTTGTTTAAAAAAGTTAACAAAAGCTCTCAATCAAGGTACATGGAGGTCCATAATAAGACATTTTTTCAGTATTTGGTGCAGTTCTTGTTTTCATTTATAGTGATCTGAAATTTTGTTCTGTTCTCCCCTGAAGTGCACATCAGTTACCTGTATGAAGAACGAGCACTGTGCCTTGAAGGGGGGTGTAAGGGACTGCTACCCAGAATCCTACGCATCATGCCAGGGCACTGGAGACCCCCACTACAGAAGCTTTGACAATCGGAGATTTGATTTTCAGGGCACTTGCACCTATATCCTGTCACAGCTCATCAAGGGATCAGAGCAGAGCCTGGTACCATTCCAAGTGCTGGTCCAAAATGAGAACAGAGGGTCTAACAAGGCTGTGTCCTTCACCAAGTCTGTCTCTATTAGTTTATTTGGTAACTTCACTGTCAGCATGAGTCATACCAGTCCAGGACAGATACTGGTAAGATCAATTGTCCTACTAGAGTGTTTACTTCTAGTTCTCCTCACCATATTTTTATAGTATCATATCAAGTAGAAACAGTCCAAAGAAACTTTTTTTGGTTCAATTCAGTTTACATTGAAAAATGCATTTTTATTTATTTAATAGTCATCCATGACCCTGTCACCGGTTCACCGCTTTTCCTTCCTTGTACTACTTTTGATGTAATGACATGTACAAATATGGGGAAAAAAGACCATCAATATGGGCTAAATTACAAACATATTCTAAAAGTGTGTCTTACTCCAGCAGGTGTTTTATTCCAGTGATTCCAAGTGATAGCTTACATTTAGCTTATGGGATCCTAGTCTCTTTCGTAGTAATATGGGTAATGGGTTATCCCAACAGTAATACTGTTCAGGCTGCAATGGTGGTTAGCAGCTTTGTGTGTTTGTATGCCAGCTCTCAGGAGAGTTTGAAGCACTAAAAATAAAGGAAAACTAATATATACTATAAAGCTAAGAAAGCAAACATTGTAAAAAAAAAAAAGACTCAAAGAAGTTGTAGTAGTCTGGTGAATAGATCAGACTTAAAGTAATACATATAATTTTTAGTGTTATTTTGGAACACTGCATGCAGCCTCTGTGCTGGGGGTATTGTGCAATAGCAGCAAGATCATAATTTCAAACCAACAACAGCGTTCTCTGTGCTTCTGAACTGAGTTAATTGAACCTCACTGTTTCAGTGAGTTAAGGACAACACTACCACTCTGCTCTTTGTATTCTTGATTTTGAGAAGAAGGCCCATACCTTTTCACACTCTTCATCAAGAACTAGTGAATTTATGAATTTTAGCCAAAGCAAAGCACTTTTACAAAGATTAAATGTTTTAAATGTGCCTCTCATTAGCCTGTGCACTAAGCAATGGTGTTGGAGCTGCCATTCAAGGCACTGGCATTATTTTTGCTCAAGGACATGGATATGGGGACAGTAGAAACTCAGGATCAAACCACCAACCATTGGTTTAAAAGAAGTCCTGCAATCCTGAGCCACAGCATACCTGTTTATCCTGTTTATCTAAAGCCGGTAACACTTTATAATGAGTACACACTATTAAGCATTAGTTAAGCATGAATAATGAATTCATCATTTATAACGCATGAATACACATTAGTATGTAGTTTATAAACACAGTTAAAAATGTTTTATTCATCATTGATAAGCACATTAGTTATGGATTAGTAAATACTGAATTCATCATTTATAAAGCCTGTTTCTGCTGTAAATAGTCATTACTATGTGGTTTATAATCACAGTTATAAATGTTTTACTCTTCATTGTACTGTACATTTCTGCATGCACTTGCACATCCACTATTCAGACATGTATTAATGAGTAGTGACTGTGTTAGCAGATGTTCTATAAAAACTCACAACAAATTCATTTTCTAATGATGGCCTATAAACAGTGATTAATGCAGGAATTCATGAATTGAGGCAGTTACAAAGCACTTACTACTCGTTAATTAAGTATTTTGCACGAGCTCATCTAAAGTGAGCACTATCTATGGCTTATTAAGCATTTACAAATGAGATATAAAGGCTGACAATGCCTCGAGACTCACAAAATGTTCAGTTATCTTAACAGACGAAGGAGAGACACAACACAAAGGGATAGAACATATTGTATTGATATTTACTGCAACTTCCCAACATATTGTATGAAGACGAACAAGGGTGGTTTATGAAGGGCATGCTATTGTTTTGATCTTATCTGTTTGGGACCTGTACGTTGAGCTTGCAATCCCGCTCTCAGCACGTCATCAACGTGATGACGGTGGGAGGCGGGATGTTACGTCATATTTACGTTAACTCTCAGAAGTTTCTGACAGTGCAGCCGAGAAGCACATTGGAGTCGGCGGCCGTCAGTGGCACTAGTGGTGAGTATGTGTCTTTGTTTGGTAGCACACATTATGGTTGAAAGCTAACGTTAGCTTGTCAGCAGCTGCAGGTGTTTGCCCTCGATCCCCGACTAACGTTACTAACGTTACCAACCCGCCCGCGGTGGCTAAGCTGAAAAACACCTGCAGCTGCTGACAAGCTAACGTTAGCTTTCAACCATAATGTGTGCTACCAAACAAAGACACATACTCACCACTAGTGCCACTGACAGCCGCTGACGGCCGCCGACGGCCGCCGACTCCAATGTGCTTCTCTATGCTCCCCTTGGCGGTCAGAAACTTCTGAGAGTTAACGTAAATATGACGTAACATCCCGCCTCCCACCGTCATCACGTTTATGACGTGCTGAGAGCGGGATTGCAAGCTCAACGTACACGTCCGAAACAGATAAGATCACAACAATAGCATGTCTTCATAACCACCCTTGTTCGTCTTCATACAATATGTTGGGAAGTTGCAGTAAATATCAATACAATATGTTCTATATCCCTTTGTGCTGTGTCTCTCCTTCGTCTGTTAAGATAACTGAACATTTTGTGAGTCTCGAGGCATTGTCAGCCTTTATATCTCATTTGTAAATGCTTAATAAGCCATAGATAGTGCTCACTTTAGATGAGCTCACGCAAAATACTTAATTAATGAGTAGTAAGTGCTTTGTAACTGCCTCAATTCATGAATTCCTGCATTAATAACTGTTTATAGGCCATCATTAGAAAATGAATTTGTTGTGAGTTTTTATAGAACATCTGCTAACACAGTCACTACTCATTAATACATGTCTGAATAGTGGATGTGCAAGTGCATGCAGAAATGTACAGTACAATGAAGAGTAAAACATTTATAACTGTGATTATAAACCACATAGTAATGACTATTTACAGCAGAATCATGCTTTATAAATGATGAATTCAGTATTTACTAATCCATAACTAATGTGCTTATCAATGATGAATAAAATATTTTTAACTGTGTTTATAAACTACATACTAATGTGTATTCATGCGTTATAAATGATGATTTCATTATTTATTCATGCTTAACTAATGCTTAATAGTTTCTACTCATTATAAAGTGCACTATCCAAATATACTCACTAGAGCACCCAGTGTGTGTTAATCCACAGCTGAAAATAGTCCCCAGCAAATTAAAAACCACAGTGCCAAGCCTTTTAACAAATAATTGAACATCTTTTTAATGAAACTATATTTGTGTGCTGTTTTCAAGACTTACTTCTTCAAAAGGAGCCAATGGGCTTGGGGCTGAGAGCCACAGACAGGGTAGAGAAGCCAGACTGTATTTAGACATAGACTACAAACTACAGACTACAGATTTGTTGACAATAAGGAAAAGATAGACTAACCGCTGTTGTTGTACTTTAACATCATCTCATAATAGTACATAGGGGGAAAAAAACGACATACCAAAGGGACAGCATTTTGTGGCAACACATGGTAGCTGGGCTATAACGTTTCTATGAGAAGCAAAAGCACAAAGCTCATATAATGTCACATTTCTTTCTTACCTTTTAGAAAGAAAGTAAGTAGTATCTAAGTATATCTTAAATATTATTATCAGTGCTGTGGAATCACTGAATCTGATGTTGTAGGATAAGGTGTAAAAGCTGTGCCTTTTGCAATGATGAAGCACATGCTGGTACATACCAATTCTGTCTATATATTTTTTGTAACATGTCCATGACTGCCCCCTCTCCAGGTAAACACTCAGTCAGTGAACCTGCCCTACTCCATGGAAGATGGCAAGCTTTCCTTGTTCCGGCGGGGTTACTTTGGCATTGTGACGACATATTTTGGTTTGACGCTCAGGTTCAACTGGAACAGCCACATCAGCTTGACTTTACCTAGTTCATACTCTGGTTCTACAACTGGTAAGTTGGGTTTGCCTCACTTGTAGTTGTTTTGTTTATTCAGATTTTTTTATTTTTTAATCAATCAATATAAGACAGTAGCACTGTGTTTATAAAGCATACATGCAAGCTATGTCAATATGGTTTATAGCAGTTTATGACAGCAGTTGAAATGCTGGGGCCTGTATGAAGCAAGATCAAGATGTTACTCTGTTACTTTGAGCTAAACCTACTTTTTTCCAGTATCACAAAGCTACCAGAGTATTTATCACCATGATAAACAAGGTGAGTCACCATGGTAACCTATGCTGCATGGCTAACCTGTTCCAGACCAAATTGATGTCAGAAAGGTATCAGAACACACAGTGCATCCCAGTTTGTTGTGTACGGGGCTGCGTATCCGCAGACAAGTAAGGGTGGCCAGCTGTTCATAATGTTATAGATGATCAGAGTAAGTTTTAGGTTAACCATATCTGGAGGTAGGTTTGAAGTGGAATAGTAGTGAAAATGCATTGTGCTTTCTTAATATACTAAATCAGGGGTCTGCAAGTAAGTTTTCAAAAATGGCGGGCCAGAACACAATCAAAAGATCATTTGAATTCCATTCAATTCAAATTTAATGTATAGCACCGATGCATAACAGAACAGGACACTTTTCAAAAAGAGCAGGTCTAGACCATACTCCTTATAACATTATTTACAGAGACCAAACAGTTCACACTATGAGCAAGCACTTGGTGACGGCGGCAAGGAAAAACTACCTTTTAAGAGGCAGAAACCTCAGACAGACCCTGGCTCTAGGTGGGTGGCCGTCTGCCTCGACCAGTTGGGGTTAAAGAGAGAGATAGAGGGAGAGGGAGAGAGAGAGAGAGACAGAAAGAGAGAGAAGAACAGAGGTAACGACAGAAGGACAGAGACAGAGACAAATGTGCACAGCAACAAAAGTAGCAGCAACTACACCAATAGTAGTGACTGATGGTGATGATGAACATGAAGAAGATGATGACGATGACAGCAACAACGATGGGGGACAATCAGCAGTGATTATAGTAATAATAGTAACTGTAGTAATAATAATAGTAACTAGAAAATTCCTAAAGAAATTTTGATTGTGCCTTGCTCCGGCCCATATGTTAATACCATGTCTTGCTCTCTAGCACGCTAGCGCTAGCATATTAATGCCATGTAATCCTCCCTATAGCATATTGATAACCTGTCATCCTCCTTAGCTAGCGCTAGCATATTAATACCATGTCATTCTCTTTAGCTAGCGCTAGCATATTAATACCATGTCATTCTCTTTAGCTAGAGCTAGCACACATAAACACATTAACCAAAGCTAACGCTTAGCTATGTGCTAATCGCTAGCTATGTGCTAATCGCTAGCTAAGCGCTAATCACTAGCTAAGTGCTAGCTTTGGTTAATGTGTTTAATTGTATTATGCTCCTGAAGGAGTGCTAATGTAAATTAAGGAACAGCTCATAGTAGGGTAAAATATTTAAGGTGTATTGTTCTTATTTTGTGTTAATATTAAAATCATTCAGCTTTAAATTGTTTGCTTGTTAGCCACCTTCTAATTATCTTAAGCTAGCCAGCTAGCGCTAGCTTATTAATGCTTTGTCAGCCTCTGTAGCTAGCTGTGTGTGTGTGTGTGTGTGTGTGTGTGAGAGAGCCAGGCTTTGGTTGTCATGGCAATCAGGGGAGCCCACAGCAGCTGCGCGCGCTCTCTCTCTCTCTGTCTCTAGCTCTTGAGAGAGACAGAAACATTTAAAATGAATCCCCTCTAACCCAGGCCAGGAACGACCGAAATGAAAACCGAAAAGACTGTGAGCGTCGTCATCTTGTTGACTATAGGACTGCCGAGTTTCAGTGGCTAAAGTTAAAAAATGTGACCTGGGGAGATTGAGAGAGAAGAGGTTCAACGAGCGTCTTTCAAGATTCCTCCTCTGCATTTTAACATGGGAGTAGATGGGGCCGTGAGAGGGTGTTGCTGGCGCATCAGTGCGTCTCCCGCCAAAACTATTTGTCTGACAGCTTCAGCAGTGGTATCACTGCGACCCCAACGAATTTACCTACGTTTCTATCTACAAATTATTTCTGTAGAGTGACATTTGTGGCCTTGAGAGCAGTTTACAAATTTATTTTTCCACACATTTTTCTCTCTCCCCACACTCTAGTGATGATGTCACGCACTCTGGCAGTTGAACATTCTCGCAATACACACCCATTCATTTTTTGGACCGGTTTTTGGCGATTTACCGGCAAACCGTTTGGCGAAACGCTTAGAAAAGTCATAGCACTAATGTCCTCACCGAGCCGCACGTTTTGATACCTTTTTTTAAGCTGCGGGAGGAGTAGCACGCCGAAAAACGTACGGAAGAATAATAAGCCCGAGGGATAGTAGTATTGTGCTTGCTTATGCAAGGCACAATAATTAAGCTGCAAGCAGCATTGAACAGGCCCTCAATCCGATAAATTCGGATCATATATGTTTTAAGATAATCCTAAAACATATAGAAAGGCCCTCCGTAATGCCAGAGGAGCCTATTACTCAACACTAATAGAAGAAAATAAGAACAACCCCAGGTTCCTCTTCAGCACTGTAACCAGGCTGACAAAGAGTCACAGCTCTATTGAGCCACATATCCCCATAACCTTAAGTAGCAACGATTTCATGAGCTTCTGTTATAATAAAATTATTACTATCAGAGACAAAATTAATCACCAGATGCCCTCAACAGGTATCATAGGGTCTACAAGTTCAGGAACTTTAACTAATGTAAAATCAGATATATATTAAGACATGCCATCGATCTTCCTCAGTTAACTTCGATAATTTCTTTAATCATCCTTCTTTCGTTCATCACAGCACAGAGACAGCTCTGGTTAAAGTTAATAATGACCTTTTGATTGCTTCCGACAATGGACTTGTGTTTGTGCTTTTATTATTAGATCTTAGTGCTACATTTGACACCATTGACCATGACATTCTTTTACAGAGACTTGAGCATCAAATTGGCATTAAAGGAACCGCACTAAATTTAGGTCATACTTATCAGATCGTTCTCAGTTTGTACACGTTAACAATGAACCTTACATAAATACTACAGTCATGGAGTTCCACAAGGTTCTGTACTTGGACCAATACAATTTACTCTATATATGCTTCCTTTAGACAACATTACTAGGAATTACTCCATTAACTTTCATTGCTATGCAGATGATACACAGTTATATCTATCGATCAAGCCCGATGAAATTAATCAATCATCTTAATTACAAACATGTCTTAAGGACATAAAATCCTGGATGAGCTGCAATTTTCTGATGTTAAACAAAAAAAAAAAATGAAATTCTTGTACTTGGCCCCAAAAACCTCAGAGTCTGCCTCCCGAACCAAAACTGGAAGCTGGTTCCAGAAGAGAGGAGCTTGGTAGCTGAAGGCTCTGGCTTCTGTTCTACTCTTAGAGACAACAGAAACCACAAGTAGCCCTGCATTCAGAGAACGCAGTATTCTAGTGGGGTAATAGGTTACTATGAGCTCTTTAAGATATGAAGGGGCCTGACCATGAAGAGCTTTGTAGGTGAGGAGGAGGATTTTAAATTCTATTCTGAATTTTACAGGGAGCCAGTGCAGAGAAGCTAATACAGGAGAAATAGGATCTCTTTTCCTAGTTCTTGTCAGTACTCGTGCTGCAGCTTTCTGAATTATTGGAGCGTCTTAATAGACGTATTGGCCTGATAATAAGGAGTTGCAGTAATCCAGCCCAGAAGTAACAAATGCATGGATTAGTTTTCCTGCATCCGTCTGTGACAGGATGTGTCTGTGATGGTTAATGGTGTCGAATGCAGCACTAAGATCTAACAATACAAGTACAGAGACAAGTCCATTGTCGAAAGCAATTAAAGCCTCTTGGAGCTATACCCCAAACCCAACAGGAAATGCGCCGTTTTGGATTTAGCTGTCATATTTGGCGTTCTATTTTCTCCGTAGGAAAATGTATCAGCTCGACTTCACATTTGGACACAGTCATCTAAAGACATTGCTGATTAAAAGTTGTGCTATTTGTGACTGTGCATTAAACAGGCTGTGGCTCAGAGGCAGAGCGGGTCGTTCCTTAATCGGAAGGTTGTGGGTTCGATCCCCGGCTCCTGGTGCCACATGTCGAAGTATCCTTGAGCAAGATACTGAACCCCAAATTGCTCTGAATGAGTTAGTTTCTGTTCGATGGACTTTGCCATCACTGAGTGAATGTGTGTGAAAGGGTGAATGTGGCGCGTAGTGTAAAAGCGCTTTGAGTGGTCGGAAGACTAGAAAGGCGCTATACAAGTACAGGTCCATTTACCATGAAACAGGAAGTTGTCGTAACTTACCCAAGACACGTACAACCGACATGTATGGAAATTGTTACGCATGTGTATCATAATCGGACAAGCTAGGACCCATAACCCAAACCCAACAGGAAGTCGGCCATGTTGAATTTTGTGGTGATTTTCAGCGTTCTTTTTGCGTTGTATCTGAACGACATCCTACTAGGGAATTTATCAGATCAGCTTCAAAATTGGTCAGTACAGTTAAAAAATATTGCTTTTCAAAAGTTGTGCTATTTGTGACTATACATAGAACCACGTGCCTGTGACGACATGTCGAATTCCGCAAATTGACCGATAAACAGATAGTACAGAAAACTTCAGTGTACAATGTCCAATGTCCACTAAACTTCAAATATTCTGTAACAGTCCCACCCTGAACACCTCCTCACAACTTCAGTGTACATGGTCCAATCGCAATGAAACTTCACACGTTTGACATTTTTTATACTTCCATGTTCTACTCCTAGCAGGTTGATCCGATCCAGCTGAAATCTAGTCAGGAAATGCAAATCATGTTGTTGATGATATCTCATGATTGTGGTGAGTTTTTGTCAAAGGTGTCCATTTGTCGATGGCGTGGTGTAAAATTTTGATGTACCGTCAGAACACACAAAGTTGCTATAACTTAAGTATACATTGTCCATTAGTCTCCAAACTTAATTTGCCTGATAAGAGTCCAGCCCTGAACACATCTATGTGATAATATTCAATAATAGTGAAAGCACCACCTAGTGGTGAAAGGAAATGCCATTTTTATGCTTTTATGTATATCTTCCAGCAGATTGACCAGAACCAGCTAAAATTATGTCAGAAGTTCCTTAGGAGGATGACAATGACATTTTATGAATCTTAAGAATTTGCATTGAACCATGTTACCATGGTGATGCTGCAAAAATCTGCTTTTCTGTCAACATTTGAACAATTTTTGGGGGGCTAAACATGCATGAAAACTCATGAAACTTTGCACAAAAAAGCGAAGTCATGGCGAAGGCTAAGGTATTGTCTTGGTCCCGTGGATGGGTGTTGCTAAATGGCTTAGCCACGCCCCCAGAATCAGACCCCAAGACACGTATGGCCGACATAAACGGAAATTGGTAGGCATGTGTATCGTGATGGGACAAGCAAAAAAGCCTCTTGGACCCATAACCCAAACCCAACAGGAAGTCAGCCATTTTGAATTCTGTGGTAATTCTTAGCGATTTTTTTGCGTTGTATTTGAACAAACTCCTCCCAGGGAATTTATCCGACCAACATCAAAACTAGTCAGTACACTTAATAAATAATGCTGATTAAAAGTTGTGCTATTTGTGACTTTACGTTAAAGGACGTGTCTGTGGCGTGGCGTCAAAGTTGGCCATTTTGAATTTTGCGGCCATTTTCAGCATATTTTTGCGTTGTATTTCGAACTCCTACAAGGGAATTTATCAGACCAACTTAAAAAATTGGTCAGTACAGTTAAAAAATGTTGCTGATTAAAAGTTGTGCTATTGGTGCATGTACATTAAAAGGCTTGTCTGGGCGCCCGGTTAGCTCAGTGGGTGGAGCTGGCAACCCATGTACTGAGGTTGCGTCCTTGCTGCAGCAGCCCAGGGTTCGAATCCGACCTGCGGCCCTTTGCTGCGTGTCATCCACTCTCTCTGCCCCCTATCCTGTCTATCTCTAGCTGTCGCTATCATAAAGGCAATAAAAGCCACAAAAAATACTTAAAAATAAAAAAATAAAATAAAAATAGGCTTGCCTTTGGCTTTCCATCAAAGTCGACCATTTTGAATTATTTAGTCATTTTCTGTGATTTTTCGCGTTCTATTTGAACGAACTCTTCCTAGAGAATATATCTGATCAATTTCAAAATTGGTCAGTACAATCAAAACAAACTGTATATGAAAAGTTGTGCTATTTGTGACTGTACGTCGAACCGTGTGCCCGTGACGACGTGTCAAATTCGGTACTCAACTTCAGTGTACAATGTTCAGTCTCCACTAAACTTCACATATTCTGTAACAGTCCCACCCTGAACACGTCCTCATAACTTCAGTGTACATGGTCCAATCTCAATGAAACTTTGATAAGAGTCCCGCCCTGAACACATCTACATGACAATATTCAGATACAGTGATAGCGCTACCTACTGGCAACAGGAAGTAAGCGCAGCATGGCAGCTTTGATCTGATTTACATGAAATTTTGAACGCGTAAGTCTTTTGCACAGTGTCTGAAACGCGTGACGATGTTGAGCGGTCTCCCTTCGCTTCCAACGATGAGGGCTTGGGTGGGGGGCAACCGCCGTGCAGGCCCCAACGTAGGTTGATGGCGAGGTCCCGCCCAATAATGCTTGCAGCTTTAATTCAGATTGTGACCATATTTCATACTTGGTTGGACTCTCAATTGGTGAAACTTGTGTCTCAAAATAGGGTTTTATTATTAATAATAACTAAAAACAATGCAATATGCAAAGCAATGTTCGTGAAATCAGACATTTTAGGCTGCTACAACCCTGTGAAAAAACTGTAAGTTTTTAGGTTTGTGTTCACATATACATTAAAAGAATTAAATTTAGAAAAATAAAAAGACATGTTGATCCTGCTTTGGAAATGTTGTTATAGTTTAAATGCCAAGGCTAACCATGTCTTCATTCCAGCTCTGTACTTGCATGCACAGAGGAAAGAAAGCAAATCGGTGTATTTCTACAAATGTTTAAGTATTCCTTTAACAGTGGTTCCATAAAAGATGTGAAGTGAGTTGTTTATCTAATTTGTGATTACTGTTGTTTGGTTGTTGCCTGTGTTTCTTTATCAGGATTGTGTGGAAATTACAATGGAAAACCTGCTGATGACTTACTTAAATCTGATGGCACCCAGGCTAAGCACATAAATGCTTTTGGACACAGCTGGAAGGTGTGTATATAGTTGAGAAAATACTTTTTTGTCGGTCTAAAAACACAAAACAAGCACATACTCCATCCAAGCCCAGGCTCAGTGATGCACATATACATTAAGTATACAGCTCTTTCTCCAGCTCAATACATCAGAAAACATGTGTGCCTACTGGGTGAACAGGTGGGCAGGAGAATAAAGTCATGCATGCAACTCCAAACTGAAAAAGGTACATTTCAGTCATAAACTTTCATCAGAAGCATTTGTTAGTGCTCTGGCCCTCTATGTTAGTAATATTGGCTGTGGGGGTCAAGAAGGACCACGGCTGCAGACACAGTCAGGACAACCTGTGAGACGAGAAAGCACAAAAACTGGAAAAAGTGAAGTTAGTAACATGCATCAATGGGGCATGCATGTGTGCAGATAGAGGGAGAGGAAGAGAAGAGCGCAGTGCATCATGAGCTCTGTATGGCTGTTCCTGCTACACTGAGCTGTAGTCAGTGTGTCATTACATCCTGCATTACAGTCTATGCAGCCATGAGGTCATGCCCCCTACAGTGCTTGTCCTGTGCACTCCTTTGTTGCATTTTTAGGGACAGCGCCAGTGTCAACACTGTGAGGTCTCTATTGTTTTTGCTAAAATGATTAGGGCCCGAGCACTGACAAACGCATATTTGGAGGCTTTCCCGTGCTCGAAAACTGTGTGACACACATGTCAGTCGTGGCAACATTTTTTATATTCTATGTGTTGCTTTCGGGTTGGCCACTAGGTGGCGGTACTATCATGAAAAGTGCGTTTGGGCTAATAACTTCTGCATAGTTTGTTGCATGTTCAAAAACCTTATATCCACAGGTTCGGTGAATGGAGCTGAATCTCCCTATATAGGCCACGCCCACTTCCACCTATAGTTTTTTTTTTCCGCGGAAGCACGAAATGTCCATAAATCAATTTTTCTTGTTCCTCCTATGTGCTTTTTCCGATTTGCTCAACATTTTTCACGTAGCACCTGGGGACCGTTCTTGCAAAAACTTTCAAAAAATAAGCACGCTATAAAATTAACACTTCCTGTATATTTTTTGTCAAAAAAGGAAGTGGAGCATTTCTCTACATTGGTATGTCCGATTGACCCCAAGCTTGGGTCCATAGTTCCCCATGTCTTCCTTAGGCATCGTGTACAATTTCAGGCCATCGCCACAAGGTGGCGCTCTTTAAAATGAAGAAGTTTATATCGCTGCATCAGCACGTGTGATTAAAATGAAACTTGGTACGACGCTTGCCCATGGCTCCCAGAGACTCGCTAAAAAATCTGGTGGCAGGGTAAATCACTGTGCAGAGACTGTAATAGTTATGAATATGAAATTCACAGGGCACGTGTAGACTGGTGCCTGTAGCTCACATACCAAAAGTAGTATTTGTAGCGCCCCCTACAGTATTTAAAAAAAGCCATCAAAGTTGGCCATTTTGAATTCCGTGGTGATCATTTTCGGTGAATTTATTGTCTTGTATTTGAACAAACTCCTCCTAGGGAATGAATCGTATCTACTTCAAAATTGGTCAATACAGTCAAAAAACATTGCTTATTAAAAGTTGTGCTATTTGTGATTGTACGTTGACCGTCAAATTCTGCCATGTTGAATTTCGCAGCCATTTTTGGTGATTTTTTGCGTGTGCATGTACATTAAGGGCGTGTCCGTGGCGTGGCATCAAAGTCAGCCATTTTGATTTTTTTGGTCATTTTCTGTGATGTTTCGTGTTGTATTTTAACTCCTCCTCCTAGGGTATTCATCGGATCTTCTTCATAATTGGTCAGTACAGTCAGAGTATGTTGCTGATTAAAAGTTGTGCTATTTGTGCACGTACATTGAAGGGCGTTTCCGTGGCGTGCCGTCAAAGTTGGCCAGGTTGAATCGAATGTCAAACTGTGATGCCATTTCCAGCATTTCAGGGCTTCAGTTTTAACTAACTCCTCCTACAGATTTTATCGGATTGACTTCAAATTCGATCACTGCAATGTAGACACATTGGTGATCAAAAGTTAATCAAATATTCACTGTGCGTCAAACGACGTGTACGTGGCGCTGAACTTCCACGTTTCGCAGTTATGAGTCTTGCTATGAAAGCGTAAGTCTTTTGCACAGTGTCTGAAACGTGTGACAACATAGACCTCAGCTTCTGGCGATGAGGGCTTGGGAGTGGGGTGACGTGGCGTGGCGTGGCGTGGCGTGGCGTGGCGTGGTGTGGCGTGGCGTGGCTTGGCGTGGCGTGGCTTGGCGTGGCTGCGGCAGGCGACCGCCATGCAGTAGGTTGATGGCAAGGTCCCGCCCAGTGCTGCTTGCAGCTATAATATATATTTGATGTAATAACTCAATAAAATGTAATGAATATCCCGACATATTGTAATAAACTATTAAGAATTGTGGTGGCTATTACAAAATATGGAAGTAAACTTTGGAGTTAATTTTTATAAGCTGAATCTTTTTGATATTTTTTTGGGGAGCCCTGTCAAAATACCATTGCAGTCATCTACCCTGCTAGAAATAAAAGCGTGAATAAGCAAGAACAAATATATGTTTTTCCACGTCGGCATTTGAAATAAAGTCCCTGAGTGTGGCTGTGTCTAAGATAATAAGTTGATCTTGTTACTGCTTTTATCAAGATCAGAGTGAACGATAACAATCAATTTAATTTAATTGTTAAAAATATTCACTTGAGTACAATTAAAGATTAATTGAAGTTGGTTGGTGACATAATGCACCATGTTATTACATTTTCATCATAAAAAAGGGCATTTAATAACCACCACAATATGTAATGAATTATTACAAAATGTATAGGAATGTATTACATATTACATTCATACAGTTTATATGCAATGTATTACAAGGGAATTTGTGGAATTTGTGTGTACAGTTGAACATATATGAACTCACAATAACAAAGAACATCTTTATATTATTATTATTCATTTTTTAAGCAGATAACCTCTGCATATTTTCACAATGTCATTGAACTCAGGCAGGGGGAGATCCTGGCTGCACTAGTGACTGTCCTGATGGTAAATGTCCTGAGTGTGAGCCTTCACTGCTACTGCATTACCAACAGGGGCACTACTGTGGCATCATCGCTGACAAGTCTGGACCGTTTAGGTGGGTACTTCTGCACAGTTGCCATGGGATACATTAAAAGATTGATGAGTAGTTAAAGCAGTTTAAAAGAAGAAAAATTGAATTATAATTGATCATACTGGTCATAGTAAAACTGCAAACCTAATTAAAGCTGTATGTGGCTATGAACTTGTGAAATCAGAATTTACAAAATAATTTAAGAATTGTTAGAAAACACAGAACAGGGTGCACCACGAACCGAACCACGCTTAGGCAGGCAGGGAAAACAGCACAACAAAACACTCAATACTAATTATGACTCAGGGTCATAACAATCTTCACATAGTTTATGTTGTGAAATGGTTGTAGTTTCTATTATAGGCACAAAAAATACTTGCTGATGTTTAGAAAAAGCTCATGGTTTGGGTTGAAATAAGTTGTTATGTAACCTAAGTAAGTTAAATAAGTCAATGTTGACTTTGAGTTTCACACAGAACACAACATCCATCCTCCCCAACTTCGTCCCCATGCAGACCTTTTTGCTCTTTATACTACTTGACATCGGCCTTTGCCCCCATCACAATTACTACCACTAGAGGTTTACTACCACTAGATGTTGCCGCCTAACATTAAATGTAAATATGGATTGTAGTCATGCAACATACATGGTTGGAAGTTTACAGCCTGGTACCTAGTTCATGTTCATGACAACTGTTCAGGCGACACATTTATATATAACTCACCCGTTTAAATTATGATGGTTTAAAGTTAAGCATAATTAATGGTCGCTTTAAGTGACAGGTGATATTCACAACAGCTCTTCAGAAACCTATGGATGATGTTATACAATATGATATATGACCATTTTTGTGGTGAAGATGGGCTAGTTAATTAAAATACACCATGTCTCATCTCTACCTTTGGAATTCAGATTAAATTAATTATATAACCTCCTCCTGGGTGAAAAAACAACAATATACATTTGCTTGATAAGAAATGTGATACATTTTAAAAAACAATAGCTAGATGAAGTTAGGTATATTGACCATCAATGCTCATTCCTAAAACTGATGAAATGGTGTCTACAGACTGTGCCCTCTCTTTCTCTGCTCTGTTTCTCTGTCTCTGCTCATACAGGCAGTGTCACAGTAAACAGGACCACACTCCCTTCCTCAGAGACTGTGTTTTTGATTTGTGTATGTACCAAGGCCATTCCTCTGCCCTATGCAACAGTCTGTCAGCTTTCAGCACCTCTTGTCAAGAAGTAGGAGCTACAGTGGAGAGTTGGAGAACTGAACAGTTTTGTCGTAAGACATGCACACACACAAACATTGTGAAAATTGTGAACTACACTGCCCATTTGTCCATCCATTTGTCCGTGCATCCAGGAGTAACTTTTGTTTTATTAAGAATTAAAGGTCCAGTGTGTAGGATTTAGTGGCAAATTGCTGTGTAGTTGCAGATTGAAATTGAAAGCTTTATACCTGCAGTGGGTTTTGCCGCCTGTTAGGTCCCGTTCTTTGCATCTACACTGACTGTTGTGGATTACTGAGACTGAACGAGTCCAGACCAAGTCTGTTCCGGTCTGAGGAGATCTGGATACGTGAGGACAACAAACTGGAATCGGAATCTGTGGATGTTCGTCTGTAGCTAGCTGCTACACCTTCAAACACAACCTCATTTGGCCATCCATGAAAAAGCTACTTAACCTCCCACTTTTCTATAGCAATACATAGTTCCTACGGGCACTGCACTAGTTTGTCAGAAATAACAAGCGACCTGTCTTCTTCAGAAACTTTGTAAAAGTCCCACATAATTGACGCAGTGTTGTCTGTTTTCAAACGTAAGCACACTGTGCTGCATTCACGGTGTAACGGAAATTCCCTGTTCCCACATTTGGTAGTCGTTCTTTCGGCCTTGTTAAGTTTGTGTTTCTATTGTTTATTTGTAACATGTGGAAAAATACTGTGAATATCAATTCAAGTCAGCAACTACCGAAATTATGACCGATAAGAAGTTTTTTTCCCACATTGAGGGGGTATTCTTGAATTTTCCCAGTCAGAAAGAGTTTTGCTGATTGTGTCAAATTCACTTGAACGCAACATTCACTGCGGGTCTCATAGTGAGAGCGGGGCACTGCCGTGCTGACAAAATTATATATGTTATCGGGGCTATTTGTCATGATATCGGACTTATCGGAATGACCTAATAATTTCCTGTTATCGGCCCGATTACTATCAGCCCGATAACTATCGTGCACCCCTAGTCAAAACAAAATGCCGAATATCGGCGCCTATAATCGGCCCGGCCGGAACCTCTCTTTCTTACACCGTGGGTGTAACCGTCTGCTGCTGAAGGAGCTACTCAGGGACCCCACAGTGTCATGTAGGGGGTGAGAGGTGTTGTTCATGATGGATGTCAGCTTCACTAACATCCTCCTCTCACCCACTTCCTCTATGGAGTCCAGAGGACAGTCCAGGACAGAGCTCGCTCTCCTGATCAGTTTATTGAGTCTCTTCCTGTCCCTGTCTGTACTGCCCCCTCTCCAGCAGAGCACAGCATAGAAGATGGCTGAAGCCACCACAGAGTCATAAAAAGTCTTGAGGAGAGCCCTGCTTACTCCAAAATCCTCAGTCTCCTCAGCAGGTGGAGGCGAATCTGGCCCTTCTTGTACAGAGCATGGGTGTTGTCAGTCCAGTCCAGTTTGTTATTGAGGTGAACACCCAGGAATTTGTCATTTTCTACCACCTCAATGTCCAATCCCTGGATGTTCGGTGTGAAATGGGATGTTTTCCTCCTGAAGATAACAATCATCTCCTTCGTCTTGCTAGTGTTTAGCTGAAGCTGGTTGAGCTTACACCAGCTGACAAAGTCCCTGATGACAGTCCTGTATTCCAGTTTGTTCCCCTCAGAAACGCATCCAACAATGGCTGTGTCATCTGAGAACTTCTGGATATGGCAGTGTGTGGAGTTGTGGGTGAAGTCTGAGGTGTATAGGGTGAAGAGGAAGGGAGAGAGCACTGTACCCTAAGGGGCACCTGTGTTCCAGAGCACAACGTCAGACACACAGTATTGAAGCCTCACATACTGTGGTCTGTTGGTGAGATAGTCTATGCAGCCAGGTGTTGGTCCACTCCCACATTTTCCATCTTCACTCTGAGCAGTGATGGCTGGATAGTGCTGAAAGCACTGGAGAAGTCAAAAAACATGACCCTCAATGTGCTTCCGCTGTCCTCCAGGTGCAGCACGGATCTGTGCAGCAGGCAGATTACTGCATCATCCACCCCAATACCAGGCTTGTAAGCAAACTGTAGGGGGTCCAGCTGTGTGCCCACCAGGGGTCGCAGGTGTCTCAGGATGATCCTCTCCATGGTCTTCATCAGATGGGAGGTCAAGGCAACAGGCCTGAAGTGGTTATGCTCCTTAGGTTGCGGCGTCTTCGGTAACAGGACCACACGGGATGTCTTTCACAGGGCTGGGACTTTCTCCAGACTCAGGCTAAGATTGAACAAGCGCATGACCACACCCCAGAGCTGGTCTGCACAGTCCTTGAGCAGTCTTGGGCTGATGCCATCCGTGTCCGCGGCCTTCCTTGCCTTGATCTTGATCAACTGTTATGGAGAGCGGGGTGGAGGATGACTGGGGTGGGGGTATGGTGGGTGGTGAAAGTCTCAGGGGGAGTAAGAGGGGGGTGGTGAACTGGTGAGGGGGAGGGGGTGAACTTGTGGAGGTCAGGTGTTGAAGATGGCAGGTTAAGGAGTGGAGGGGCAGGGGGAGCTGGCCAGGGGAGTTGTGAAGTGGGAGCAGGGTGGGTAAGGGAGGGAAAGGAGGCAGAATCAGACCTGTTGAAAAACATATTAAGTTTATCTGCCCAGTCCTTGTCCCCGCTGGCTTGGTTTCTTCCCACTCCTTTACCATGGCCTGAGATGTTCTGCAGCCCTCTCCAGACATCCCTGGTGTTGTTGGGCGGCTGTGGCGTAGACGCAGAGCGGGTCGTCCCCTAATTGGAAGGTTGTTGGTTTGATCCCAGGCTCCTGGTGCCACATGTCAAAGTATCCTTGAGCAAGATACTGAACCCCAAATTGCTCCCGATGCCATGCATCAGTGTGTGAATGTGTATGAATGTGCTAGCTTCTGTTCGATGGGCTTTGCCATCACTGAGTGAATGGGTGTGAAAGGGCGAATGTGGCCCGTAGTGTAAAAGTGCTTTGAGTGGTCAGAAGACTAGAAAGGCGCTATACAAGTGCAGGTCCATTTACCATTCTGTTCTAGCCGCTTCTCCAGTTTCCTCCTTCCCCTTCCTGATCTTTTGCCGGAGTTCCTTCTGGACCCTGCGCAGCTCCTCTTTGTCCCCCGATCTAAAGACAGTCTTCTTCTCATTCAGCAGGGCCTTAATCTCAGAGGTCACCCAGGGTTTGTTGTTGGGAAACACCTTATCAACTTGGAGGGCACAGTGTTCTCCACATAGAAATTAATATAGTCCATAATGCAGTGGGTCATACTGTCAGTGTCATTTCCGTGGGCTGCAGAGTGCATCCCAGTCTGTTATCTCAAAGCAGTCTCTGAGCCTAGCACTGGTCTCCCCAGACCACTCCTTCACAGGCCTCTTCTCAGGTTGTCGTTTATTCACCACAGGGGTGTAGTCTGTGACCAGATGGACAAGGTTGTGATCTCAGCGACCAAGCTGGGGGGAGGGGGATGAGGCGTATGCATCCTTGATGTTTGCATACAAGTCCAAAGTTGTATTGACCCTGGTTTGGCATTTCACGTGTTAAGGTGGGGAGAGCAGAGGACAGGGAAGCATGGTTGAAGTCACCGGAGAGGAGGAGGAAGGATTGGGGATGCTGGTTTTGAAGCTGGGAGACGACAGTGTGGATCTGATCTGTACCTGCAGCAGCGACGGCTGAGGCAGGGATGTACACAGTTACAGCAATAACATGTGAAAACTCTCGGAAGGTAGTACGTCCGCATGATGTTTGCATACAAGTCCAAAGTTTTATTGTCCCTGGTGTGGCATTTCATGTTCTGGGTTAAGGTGGGCAGAGCAGAGGACAGGGAAGCATGGTTGAAGTCACCAGAGAGGAGGAGGAAGGATTGGGGATGCTGGTTTTGAAGCTGGGAGACAACAGTGTGGATCTGATCTGTAGCTGCAGCAGCGGCGGCCGAGGGAGGGATGTACACAGTTACAGCAATAACATGTGAAAACTCTCAGAAGGTAGTACGTCCGCATGATGTTTGCATACAAGTCCAAAGTTTTATTGTCCCTGGTGTGGCATTTCATGTACTGGGTTAAGGTGGGGCTCAAGGACACTTTGACATGCAACAGGAGGAGCCAGGGATCGAACCACCAATCCTCTGATTAATGGACATTAATGGCTCTCTCAACCTCCAGAGCCACAGAAATAGCGGCAATGCTCCCTAAACTGAAATGTCAATTTTAATGTACATGAACATCTAAATGCCTTTACAATCTTTAAAATAAATAAGACAGTAAATGTGACGATCTTCTCAATTGATTCTGCATAAGGTGACGAACAAGCATCTTTCCCAAAATGTCCCTTAAATGTTCTTAGCTTCTTATCCCTCTGTTGTTTGGCCATCTGTCTTGATAGTCTGCTGTCCTTAATGTTTGAATCATGAAAGCTCTGAAAATCCTGACAAGCTAAAACACAAGTATGTTAATAATGTTTGTAAGGAACATTATCATTTATGTGTGTCACTCTGCCAGCTCCATCGTGTGGTGCAAACAGTCACTATGAGCTGTGTGCCTCTCCGTGCCAACTTACCTGCAGTGGTCTTACGCCCCCGGAGGGCTGTGATGCCAGTGCTTTCTGCACAGAAGGCTGCGTGTGTGATGATGGATTCATGTTGAGTCATGACAGCTGTGTACCTCTAGCAGAGTGTGGTTGTCAGTATGAAGGACAGTATTATCAAAATGGACAGGTACTACAGTGGCAATAATATAGCAAATGCCACTTCTACTTGTACAATTAATGCTGCTATAACTACAGCTTCTGTCACTAATATTACTGCTTCTGATATTTCTTCCTCTTTCCTCAGGTGTTTTATCCAGGAGAGTCCTGTAACACTCGTTGTGTTTGTTCAGATGGTGGAAAAATACAGTGTGATCCTAAATTTCATTGTTCAGCCAATGAAAAGTGTGTTGTGAAACAGGGTTTTGCCTATTGTTCTCCCAGAAGTGTTGGTTCCTGTTCTGTGAGTGGGGTCCAAACAGTCAGGTCCTTTGATGGACAGGTAAAGTATTTTTTTCCTGAATAATAAAAGTAAGAATATTATGAGTGGTGTGTAACAACACGATAGTGATTTTTAAAATACAGATTTCAATAATAACCTTTTTAATACTTTTCATAATTATTGTATTATGGAAATAGGTTATTTCATAGATTATAATTTTTTGGTTTATATTTATATTATCTATTTCAAAAATTACATTGTTTATCAGACATCATGAATTGTTTGACACATGTAACAATATGCAGTTTTTCATGTTGGATTTAACAAAACAATAGGTTAATAAACGTATAAATTAGGTTGCCACACACATACACAGACTCTTTTCTTAGTCTTAGTCATAGAAATTACTCTATGGTCATTCTTCCATAATATCTCTTCTTGTAGAAGTTTCTTCAAAACAATTTTTCAAACTGAATAAAATAATCTCCAGATTTATTTGGCTCTGGAAAAAACCCAAGCTTAAACTTGAAATGCTGAAACTCCAAAGCAAAGAAGGAGGAATGGCTCTACCAGGTTTTAAAGATTACTTTTTTTTCAGCCATTAAACCTTTAATAGTATTTAACATGTGTTTCCCAACATATCACGCCATGTGGAAAGATATCAATGACTAGAGCATAACTCGGCGTCTGTGGCTCAGAGGCAGAGCAGGTCGCTCCTTAATCAGAAGGTTGTGGGTTCGATCCCCGGCTCCTGGTGCCACATGTCGAAGTATCCTTGCGCAAGATACTGAACCCCAAATTGCTCCCGATGCCGTGCATTGGTGTGTGAAAATGTATGAATGTTACTTTCTGTTAGATGGACTTTGCCATCACTGTGTGAAAGGGTGAATGTGGTACGTAGTGTAAAAGCACTTGAGTGGTTGGAAGACTAGAAAGGCGCTATACAAGTACAGGTCCATTTAACTAGAGCATAAATTATAAATAATTCAACAATCCTTGGTTCAAGCCTAATAAAATGCATTACAGATTTATACCGTGGATCTTAAAAGGGATAACAACATTCTATTCCCTTACAGAAAGGGGACAATTAGAAGAACCTGAAGAAAAAACATGGTCTTGATGAATCGGATTTTTATAGATATCTGTAAATCAGTGTGGCAATATTTTGAAGATAACATATAACATTATGGAAAAACAGACTTTGATCAGCCAATACTGAAAATATACTTCTAAGATTGCTATCTCTAAATTTAAGGACTTATGACCAAAAAAAAAAGCCACACACATGAATAAATGAATACAGATTGCAAAAATGGTAAAGAGAAAGTAATCTTTCAGTATAAAATGAATACTGGCTAGATGTGTGTAAATTTCTATGGGATTTTTGATGCAACACAGATACCTAAATATAGATAAGGAGGAACGTTGATTCATAATTAAGTTATCTGTACCTTTAAGACAATCACAGTGGATGTTCTGACATTATATTTTATAATCTCTCCACCTTTCCTCGCTCCTCCCATCCTCTAGGAATATCCCCTGTGGGGAAACTGTGTGTTCAAATTGTCAGAAGTGGAGGAGAACGAAGGAGGGATGGCAGCCTTCTCTATATTGTTACAACAGCAAACCCATAAGGATGATGTCCTCTCTCGCAGTGTTGAGCTCCTAGTTTATGACATGGAAATCACTATGGAGACTGGGGTTGTTTGGGAGATTAAGGTATGTGTGAGGTTTTTTATTGGCTGGGTGTAAAACACTGAATAAAGCAGTTCCACCCTTCTCCAGCACTGTTCAGCAGACAAAGTTGAGCTGAGCTGCTGTAAACATTAGCTCAGCCTGTTTCTCTGATAACTTAAAAGGTCCAGTGTGTGATCGATTTTTAGAAATGGAATATAATGGGGTGCCTGGTAGAGCTGGCGTCGTCGATGTTGTTTCATTTATATCTGATTCTGTGCCGGTTAAATTTACACAAATGCTGTGATGGTTCATGTGCACAGCGGCACAGACAATAACCAACTTCTGTCACAGCCACAGAAGCTAAATCATCTTATCGCCATGGATTTGTTTTACAGTGAATGAAGAAGACATAACAATTAACAATAAAAAAATTTGGTCCTCTATTAAACATACTGCTGACACCAAAAGTCAACAGATTAAACACATGCTGGGAGAGAGAAAAATAAAGAGAAGGGAAAGGGAAGCTGCTGTGTGAGAGGGAAAAGCAAGGTGGTCACATTAAAGAAGCTTGTGAGTAAACGCTAAAATAAGTTGAAAAATGAAGTGGAATTGAAAAACATTTTTTAACAAACAATTTAATTTTCCATGAAAGAAAAATTAGAAAATTACTCACGATTGGTGTCAATTATAGTTCTAGAAGCAGGACTGACTTTTAAAATCTGAATCGGCTGTACAGGATTCAAACCCATAGGAAGCAAGGACTTAGCTTTGGTAGATGGGGTGCCAGCTCTACTAGGTGAGCTACCAGGGCACCTGTTTATAGACATTTTAATGCAGACATGTTACATATTATAGCTTTGATTGAAAACAGCTCAGTCTTATTCCTAATATTCCTTATTTCTAAGTCCATTTGGTTGGTTTAAAATTATCTGCCCTTTTAACTCTTAATGGGTGAGTTGAAGTGTTACACTTCTACTAAAAAAGAATAGTAATATTTCTGTTGTACAACAGGGAGGGCAAGGGGCAATTATAAACTTGATCTTGATACAAATAAACCACATTCTAATAACATCTGATGTGGTTACATTTGATTTCTGTGAGGCTTGCGGGGGGATCTTGCGATGATGCTGTGGTGAATCCTACGTAGACCATTTCATTTTGAGAGGAAGAACACTAGCCCTCAGTACTGGACACATCTTCATAAGCTAACGCGGCTCCTAAAATGGGACAAAGCCAACGTGTACATCTGAAAATACTTGTGTGTGTGTGTGTGTGTGTGTGTGTGTGTGTGTGTGTGTGTGTGTGCGCATGCCTGCTTTTCTTTATATTTCAGGTTGATGACATTAGAGTCCCCCTTCCTGTGTCGCTGGCTGATGGAAAAGTACGGGCACATCAAAATGGCATCAACATCATCATTGAAACTGATTTTGATCTGACGCTGTCCTATGACACTGTGGCAGCTGTTTTCTTACAAATCCCATCGACCTATCGCAACTCACCAAGTGGTCTCTGTGGCAACTATAATGGTGAACTGTCTGATGACCTGGCATTAGCCAGTAAGAAGCCAGCAGACGTAGCAGCGGTGTGGGTAGTAAAGAAGGACAACACTACCTGTGAGACGAGCTGTGGGGCCAGTTCCTGCCCTGAGCCAGATGGACAAAAGGTCCCTGAAGCCAAAAAGGCCTGTGACATCATCAAAGCTCAGCAAGGCCCATTTGCAGGCTGCCACGCAACAGTGCCACCCCAGCCAGATTATGACGCTTGTGTCAGGTAAGAAAATATCTGAAAATACATCTAATGTGAAAGTGATACAGTTAAATCTGATAAAGCTCCTGCTTTCTGAGCATGGAGACAAGGCAGTGACTTAACATTTTTGCACTGACCCATTGTATTTACTGTATTTGTGTACAGTTTTTCTGTAAAATGAGGGATTGTTAACATTTCTTAGCATATCCCTTTCACTCTTACTTGCAATCAGAGTGGTTTAGGTAATCTGGATAAGCTATTAGCTGTTTGATCAAATGACCGCTTTCTTGTCTTGACCAGTCAGGTGTTTCCTGTAATTAATTGAAAGTTTGTTTTCAGGGAGCTATCCACAGGTAAAGGGGGCACAGAGGTCCTGTGCCGTCACATCCAGAATTATGTTACCGCCTGTCAACTAGCTGGTGCCAAGATAAGCAAATGGAGGAGCGACAGCTTCTGTGGTAAGTCTGATCTGACTTGCTGATGCTCACTGGTGCTGAATGTGGCTTAACCTATTTTAGAAAACTTTTGTTGTTGTTCCCCCTTTTGTGTTGTCACATTTGATACATATAATGTCTGATACATAACCTCTCAGACAAGGACATGCTAGATACTACTGCATGCCATTGTTTTGAGATGCTACATCATTATTTGAAAACTTTTCTCATTATTTTGAAATTTTTTCATTACATTGGCTGATTGGGTTAGGGTAATGCCTATTTGCAGATGGTAGAATGGATCTCAGCCTATAACATATAATAATCTGGGCTGGGCTCTTTAGTTCATCAACAGGGGATGGATGTGGTTCAGTAGGTTGAGCAGGTTGTCAAGGGTTGGTGGTTTGATTCTCTAGTTTCCCCCTGTCTGTATGTCTTTAAACAAGACACTGAACCTTAAGTTGTTCATTCACTAGAGCTGTAGGATGACCCAGTATGCTCTATCTTGATAAAATATTTTTTCCTGCTCTAGAAAGATTTGTTGGTTTTGGCTATTTGATTTTATTATATTGATTTGAGTGCTCAGTGTCTGGACCTTTCTTGTCCTTGCAGCTGTGACGTGTCCAGCAGGGAGTCACTATGAGCTGTGCGCCACTGCCTGCTCCTCCACCTGCTACTCTCTGCAGAGGTCAGAGCCCTGCCCAGTGTGCCAGGAGGGCTGCCAGTGTAATGACGGCCTCATGTCTGATGGAGTCGACTGTGTTCCTGTGGCGAACTGCGGCTGTGTAGTGGATGGACAATATTATAAGGTGATTACCGTCATCCACATCATAATGCTTATTCAGTATAGTATAGCTTACTAAGCGGGTAGCTGTTTAGTTGTCCCCAGCTAAAGATTTTCCTAGTTGACAAGTAGTTTTTCAAGCCGTTAGGTGACTAGTTGTTGAACATCTTTGATATTAATTTAATTATTGAAATAGATAGATATTTTTAACAATGGCCTGCTAAAGGCTAACGACAAAACAGTAATTATTCTGAGTGTGTCAAAACAACTAGCAAGGAGACTAAACATTTAGTTAATGTAGTTTAAACTGCACTAATCTTAGAGGCTATGTTGCTTGCATGCCCCTCTCTGGCTATGTTGTGCATACTTGCCTCAGAAGCAGGCTAATGTGGTAACAAACCTCTCCCAGTACTTCGAGCTCGCAGTCCGGGTACGGTCAGCTTATAAGAATGCTAATAAGCTAGCAGCAGCAAACAGAAAGAGACTTCCTGTGTTATAAGAAAAAAGGTTTGTGCTGCAACAGTCCCCTGATACTTTCATCCTGGTGACAAGGTGCAGCTTGAACAGAGTTGAACATTGTTTTTGGTTTTCTGTGACTATCTGACTAATGGAAATTTAGTTGACTAAGTTTAACAGTTTAGTGGGCAACCCTAAATATTCACAATTAAATTTATTTAGATTTTTATTTATATCTTTTCAGTCGAGTAAAACAGTATTCCTGGAAAACTGCTCAGAGCGCTGTCTCTGCCAGTCTGGACAGTTCAGCTGCAACTCCACAAACTGTCAGGAGGGGGAGGAGTGTCGCAACAAGGATGGAACAGTTGGCTGCTATTCCACAGGTAATTCAAGATTCAAGAGGTTTATTATCATATGTACAGTATAAACACAAGGCTAGCACGCACAATGAAAATCTTACTTTGCCCGACTCCCCAAGGTAACACACAAGTACAGTAAGAACATAATAATCAAAAAAATATAAAATTTTCAATATTACAATTTTCTATATAAAATATAACAAAAATATAACATATAACTTACAACTTAAAAGTGCAGAACATTTGTACCGTAGACAAAGAAAGAAACCTGAGTAGAAAGGTGCTCTGTGCCTCACAGTTACACTTCAGGTGCTGAGTGACATCACATCACAGTGGGAGTAATAGACTTACTAAGTGACTGTGATCTTTTAATGCTATCTGACCCCAACTGAGAGGTGTTTTAGGCGTTAAGGCGTTTTCTGTTTTGTTCTCCCATGTATGTAGGTAGAAGCAACCAATTACATTAACTGTTGTTACTGTAACAAAATATTTTTTTTATATCTCTATAAGTAGTATTAAAAATATGATTTCATGGCAGCTTTACTTAAAAAATTGGTATGAATGTTGCGTTGTTGCAGATTTCTAATCTTTGTTTGCCATGAGATTGTGGGAGAAAGTGAAAATTGCAAAAATAGTAGATATTTTAATAGATTTTTTTGTATAATTCATAAAGAATCGAAGGCAACTTGTTCCAGTGAGAACAAAATCATTAGTTTTTAGGGGTGGTATAAAAAATGTATTAATGTAGGAATCGTGTTTCTTATCTTTTACAATCCTGAATCAATTTGCAACTTCCAAAGACCTTTTTTCAACATTTTCTGTTGCAGTTGCAGCAAGCAATGTACCTACTGGCTAATTGTCCTTGCTAATGTTAGTCCGATCATATTGAATGAGTCATGTCAAAGGCAAGGCTTTCTGAGCACAAAGCAGGCTGGAGCAGATCTTGAAATTAGCAACCCTATGTACTGAATCAGCAGTCGTTTTGAATCAAACTTTGATTCTAAGAATCAAAATCGAATTAAATCCTGAAATACTAAAGCGTCACACCCCTAGCAGTTTGGTGACATATGGCTTAACGTTTTGCTTGGGGAATCATGGATCCATTCAGAAGAACTGGATGCAGAATTGGCGGTGGGGTCTGTTCATTCCTATGGAAGCTACTCAGTGGCACATGCAGCCAAATAAGGTTCAACAAATTACCTGGATCTTCCAATTATGCTTCGGCATTGTGTGGCCTATAGCGCACTTTATAAATTGCAATTACTGGACAAATTTTCAAGGACACACAAAATTCAAAAGGATTGGTTTAATTTTGAGGGACTAGTATTTTGTACTACAATTTAAGTCACATCTGTTACAGAGTGCAAACAAAAGTCACATATAAATGTCCTGATTGACTGTGTGAGAAAGAAAGGAGCAACATCAGCAGTTGTAGCAGAAAAGAACCTGCTGGTGTCTGTGGCTGCAGGAGGGCAGAGCTCCAGAGAGCTCCATGTCCAGAGAGGTGACACTTAGGCAGTAGTTGAGGCTGTAAGGACTTGGGAACTGGTCCAGCATGGACCACAGTATGAAGTTTTGACTGGTAGCTCAAGAAGGTGCCACATAATTTTCACACAAAAATTAAGTACTTTTTAAAATATAAATAAATAAAATAAGGACAAAGATAGAAAGATCCGAACTTTACAGGACAGATATTTACAATGTGCAGGACAGAAAAACCAACGGGAGTGCATTAATGTAATGCATATATACAGGGTGGGTTAAAGACACAGTGTCAATGGGGGTTCCGGGCCTTGTTAATGAGGCCAGCTGCAGACGGAAAGAAACTGTTCTTGTGGCGACCGCAGCCTCCTGCCAGAGGGAAATGTTTCAAAGAGTTTGTGTCCAGGGTGGGATGGTCAGCCACAATCTTGCCTGCACGCCTCAGGGTGCTAGAGGCGTACAGGTCCTAGAGGGATGGCAGATTGCAGCTTCTCTTGCTCCTCCTCCTTCTCCTTCTCAGCGAATCAAATAATACGCTGCAGTCTGCCCTAGTCCTTGGCAGTGGCAGCAGCGTACCAGACGGCGATGGAAAAGGTGAGGATGGACTCGATGATGGTGGTGTAGAAGTGCACCATCATCGTCTTTGGCAGGTTGAACTTCTCCAGCTGGATGTGCCTGGATGTGCAGCTGTTTGTGTACAGGGAAAAGAGCAGAGGAGAAAGAACGCAGCCTTGGGGGGATCTGGTGCTGACGGTCTGGGAGTCAGAGACATTTTTCCCCAGCTTCACATGCTGTTTCCTGTCAGACAGGAAGTCTGTGATCCACCTGCAGTTGGAGTCAGGCACAGTGAGCTGGGGGAGCTTGTCCTGTAACAGAGCTGGGATGATGGTATTGAAAGCAGAGCTGAAGTCCACAAACAGGATCTTGGCATAGGTTCCTGGGGAGTCCAGATGTTGAAGGGTGAAGTGCAGGGCCATGTTTACTGCATCATCTAGAGACCTGTTGGCCGGGGGTCCAGGAGTGGGTCCATTATGGCTTTGAGGTGGGAAAGCACAAGGCACTCAAAAGACTTCATGACCACAGAGGTGAGGGCAACAGGTCTGTAGTCATTGAGTCCTGTGGTCCTTGGTTTTTTGGGGACAGGGATGATGGTGGAGATCAGCCAACTAACATTACTTTTCTTTCTTTTCAGACATTCAATGCCACGTCCATAGTTGGTCCACAGACAGAACATTTTACTAGGAGCCTGTCTGTGTCTGCTACTCCTCAATGTTTAATAAACTGAATAAATAATTTTTAGACTCAAAGGATAATTGACCAATACGTGTGTCTTCCAGACCCTTGTTCTGAGGTTGAATGCAGGGTTAAGGAGCACTGTGAGGCATCAGAAGGCCAAGGAGTGTGTATTCCTGATTCCAAGGCCTTATGTTGGGCTTTTGGTGACCCACACTACACCACATTTGATGGCTGGAGCTACTCATTCCAGGGAACCTGCACTTACATCCTTGTCAACACCACAGGTTTGCAGTTTGCTCTATCCATTACTTCAGTTTTCTTTAGAAGTATCAAAGACACACAGACACATAACCCTAACCAGGTGACATGTAGCGTATTTTTGTAGAGGCATAAATCAAAGATTTTTCATGTGAAGCATGGGAAGATACCACTTAAGTAAAATATATATAAATTGGTACAAACAACAAAATTTGATGCACTTTGTCGTCTGTTGTGAATCATGTTTTTCCAAATCAACCAAAGCTGGGCTACAGGATATACAAAACTCAATAAATAAATTGCATGACACATACACATATCATGCAGTTAATAAAAATGGACACACTTCGAGCACCATGGCAACTCACCTGCCAGAGAGTCACAGATAATTGAGGCGGAGTAGTCGGAGGACATCAGAGGGTAAACCAGAAAACATTTTTTTTATAAACAATTATTCAGTTTCACAAGAAAAATTTGTGATGTAGATGGTGGTGTGTGACTTACTGCCGTAAAGCGCTACGCACTTGTTCCAACCTAGAGCCAAAAGAACACGTGTATTCAATTCAATTCAATTCAATTTTATTTGTATAGCGCCAATTCATAACAGAAGTTATCTCAGGACACTTTTCAAATAGAGCAGGTCTAGACCGAACTCTTTAACATTAATTACAGAGACCCAACAGTACCACCATGAGCAAGCACTTGGCGACAAGGGCAAGGAAAAACTGCCTGTTAAAAGGCAGAAACCTAGGACAGATCCTCCGGCTCTAGGTGGGTGGTCGTCTGTCTCGACCAGTTGGGGTGAGAGAGAGAGAGAGAGAGAGAGAGAGAGAGAGAGCGACAGACAGACAGACAGGTGCACAGCAACAACAGTATTGGCAATGGCAGTCAAGCAGGACCATGGCAGGAGGCTCCACCAGGATCCATGAGAACCTGCGAGACGAGAAAGCACAAGAACTCCGGGGAAGAAGTGGAGTTAGTAACATGCATTAAAGGGACATGAATGAGTGCAGAAAGAGAGAGGAAGAGAGTAGCTCAGTGCACCATGGGAAATCCCCCGATAGTCTAGGCCTAAAGCAGCATAACTAAGGGATGGTTCAGGACTCACCTGATCCAGCCCTAACTATAAGCTTTATCAAAGAGGAATGTCTTAAGCCTACTCTTGAATGTGGTGAGGGTGTCTGCCTCCCGAACCACAACTGGAAGCTGGTTCCACAGGAGAGGAGCTTGGTAACTGAAGGCTCTGGCTCCTGTTCTACTTTTAGAGACTATAGGAACCACAAGTAGCCCAGCATTCAGAGAACGTAGTGTTCTAGTGGGGTAATAGGGTACTATGAGCTCTTTAAGATATGAAGGGGCCTGACCATGAAGAGCTTTATAGGTGAGGAGGAGTATTTTAAATTCAATTCTACATTTTATAGGGGAGCCAATGCAGAGTAGCTAGTACAGGAGAGATGTGATCTCTTTTTCTAGTTCCTGTCAGTACTCGTGCTGCAGCGTTCTGAATTAATTGGAGCGTTTTAATGGACTTATTGGGGCAACCTGATAATAAAGAGTTGCAGTAATCCAGCCTTGAAGTAACAAATGCATGGATTAGTTTTTCTGCATCTGTCTGTGATAGTATGTGTCTAATTTTTCTAATATTACGTAAATGAAAGAAGGCAGTCCTAGAGGTCTGCTTTATGTGGGAGTTAAATGACAAATCCTGATCAAAGATAACTCCAAGATTCGTGACAGTGGTGCTAGAGGCCAAGTTAATGCCATCTAGAGTGACTATATCTTTAGACAATGAGTCTCTAAGGTTTTTGGGGCCAAGAACAAGAATTTCGTTTTTTTCTGAGTTTAACATCAGAAAATTGCAGGTCATCCAGGATTTTATGTCCTTAAGACATGTTTGTAATTTAGATAATTGATTAATTTCATTGGGTTTGATTGATAGATATAACTGCGTATCATCTGCATAACAGTGAAAGTTAATGGAGTGATTCCTAATAATGTTGCCTAAAGGGAGCATATATAAAGTAAATAGTATTGGTCCAAGTACAGAACCTTGTGGAACTCCATGACTAACTTTAGTATTTATGGAGGATTCATCGTTAACATGTACAAACTGAGAACGATCTGATAAGTATGACTTAAACCAGGTTAGGGCAGTTCCTTTAATGCCAATTTGATGCTCAAGTCTCTGTAAAAGAATATCATGGTCAATGGTGTCAAATGCAGCACTAAGATCTAATAATACAAGTACAGAGACAAGTCCATTGTCAGAAGCAGTCAGAAGGTCATTATTAACTTTAACCAGAGCTGTCTCTGTGCTATGATGAACTCTAAATCCTGACTGAAAATCCTCAAATAAACTATTGTTATGTAGAAAGTCACACAACTCTTTGGCGACTACTTTCTCCAGAATCTTAGAGAGGAACGGGAGGTTAGAAATCGGTCTATAGTTGGCTAAAACCCCTGGGTCAAGAGTAGACTTTTTAAGAAGGGGTTTAATTACAGCTACTTTAAAGGACTGTGGTACATATCCTGATAATAAAGAAAGATTAATCATATCCAGTAAAGAAGTGCCAATTAAGGGAACAACTTCTTTATAGGGTGCAGAGTATGAATGACAGCGGCAGCATTCACCCTATTACAGCTCAGTGTAACATCAAAAGGATTTTAAAGCTGGTATTTTAAAAGATAGGAAAATTACAATAGGGGTTTTAACGTAGCAGTTCGATTCCAACCTGTGGCCCTTTGCTGCATGTCATGCCCCCCCTCCATCACCAGCACTGAATAAAGGCAATGAAAGCCAAAATAATCTCTTTTTTATAGTTGACATCATCTTGCCAACATTAACATGAATTATTCCTACTTTCTCAGGTCTTGATCCCTCCCTGCCAGAAGTAACTGTGACTACTAAGAATGAGCTCCGTGGTAACGCTGAAGGTTCCTTTGTACGTTCAGCTACTGTGGAGATGTTGGGCTACCATATAACCATTCCAAGTGATGACAGGGGTGTCGTATTGGTGGGTCTAACTTCTTCTACGACTTCTTCCTCTTAATGTGACCTAGTGCTACTCAATGCACAAGTGCCAGAATAATCTGGAACCAGAGACTGCTGTATCAAAATATAGAATTTATTTATACTGCATAAGAAGTTAGGAAAGGGAGCAAATATAATTCATACATTAAATAATAATAATAATAATAATAATAATAAATCATACATTAATCAAAACTAAGTCAACAAAAGAAAACTCAAAACAGCTTATTTCAGTTAGTGGGTAGGTTATGGTTTTCACAGATGGATGATTTTTTCTATACAAAAAGAATATTAAAGAAATACATACATTTGAATAATTACTTACAAAAACTACTAATAAGAATTAAATTAGATCATTTAACTTACATCATTAATGCATCCACAATCTGGTGTTATTTTCTCTTTTCTTTCTTCTTTCTTCCTTGCATTTAAACACATTAAATCATATTTTAAAGGTGAACAAGTCTATGTTAAACTCACAGCAGGTTCTCTTTGTTCTTATCTGTGTGGTTTGGGGGGAAAAGAGGGAAATTAGATCTGAAGGGTGGAGCTTTATAATCTTGGGGGAGGGGTTTAGAAAAAAGTGGCTCAGAGCCCAATCAATAAATAAGTTAAGGCACACTAAAATGCATATGGGAATAACAGTGATTGGCTCTTCTGATAATGTCATTTTAAAAACTAAAAAGAAACAAAAGCAGATTCAAAATACAAAAATAATAATAACATTTTACAAAACATGTGCAATATGGAGAAAATGTTATACCTTGCTTAAATGGAAACACAGTCCCCTCCCTCAGTTGGAGACTGGAATCTATATTTATAAATAATCATGTTAATATTGTATTAAAAATGCGAAAACCCTATTTAAAACCATCCCAGCATTGCTTGAGCATACCTATTCGTTGGCTGGTGTGTTTTAACAATCACTCCAAGCTTTAGACCCTCACCAACATGAAGGATCTAATAAGTAACAGTTTTAACAAATCTTTAATTCAACAAAATAAACTAAAGAAATATTTCACTATTCTAAACATACAGTATTGACATTGTGTTTTTAAAAATGGAGCCTACCAAATCAAACACCAAACAAAGGCTGGTCTCAGCTGCTCTCTCAGGTGTGTCTCACTGCAGGAGGAAAAGTGCCAGGTGAGCTTCCCTCCCCTTTTTATAAACTCTGCCCCTTTGACTGGGTCCTAGTGTTTGCTACGTATTGCCTTCCCTTCCACATTAACAATGCACAATTCTTAGTTACACTTAAATCTGATTAATTCTTTCTCACGGAGTGACAATTTGACAAGGAACAGGATGAGTTGGGGACGGAACCTTCTGATTAGTGGACAACCCACTCTATCACCAGAGCCACAGCCACCCAATATACACAGACAACCATATACAAAAAATTCCATTTCACCTGACTTGCATAGCTTAAAAATAGATGTAGTCTTGATGCAGCCTCAGATGGCCGTTGGCAACGGAAGTTGCCACTTGAGGTGACCAGAACATGAGGAGATGGGACATGGGAAGAATCCTTCAAGATAACCACCCATCAGATCATCATCATCTCAGAGCGCACAAACCAAACACTGGCTCTAGACAGGAGAGCAATATATGGTCTGTCTTTGGGGGAATGATTGTAGTGGATGAGAACCAAAAGGCACTGGCAGAAGGGGATAAGGGAATCTGTGGGGGGATGAAGCAGATAGCAGGGGCTGGTGGTGAATGTGGCTGCATTATGTTTGTTTCTGTCACACCTACAACCACACTGGGCACTGCTTAAGTCTCTCCCTCCGACCACCCACCTAGAGCAGAGGGGGCTGTCCTAGTTTTCTGCTTCTTAAAGGGAAGTTTTGCCTGCCGCCATCGCCAAGTGCTTGCTCATGGTGGTACTGTTGGGTCTCTGTAAATAATGTAATAAGGAGTTCAGTCTAGGCCTGCTCTATTTGAAAAGTGTCCTGAGATATATTCTGTTATGAATTGATGCTATACAAATACAATTGAATTGAATTAAACTGAATAATCTGGCAGGTGGGCAGGCGGGATGATCCTAAACAAACAGGAGAGCAGGAGTAGATATACTGCAAGGTTGTTTTGTGGATTGTGTAGTTTGAGCAGGTATGGAAAGTCAGTACCATTGACAACCTTCCGATAAGTGGACAACCGCTCTACCTCTGAGCCACCGACGCCCCGACCCTTAACTATGCCCACTGCTCCCAATTTGTATAGGATGGGTCAAATGCAGAGGGCAAATTTTGTTTCAGGTATATGCTATATGTACTGTGAAATGACAATAAAGACTTATTATTGTTATAATTAGATTTCAGTACCACATACTCTCTCTTTCTCTCTTTAGGTGAATGGTATTAAGACAGTTCTTCCTGTCTTTCTTGAAGGGGGCAGCATCTCCATATCAGAATCAGGAATAAAAGGCATACTTCAGAGTGATATCGGCGTTGAAGTCACTTTTGATTGGTCCACACTTGTCATGGTGTCCATCAGCAGCAGTTATTATGGCAATGTTGCTGGCCTCTGTGGCAACTACAACGGCAACAAGGAGGATGAGGTAACAGCTGCCGGAGGCAACATAGCTGTTAATGTGACAGAGTGGGTAGGGACATGGAGCATTAATGATGGCGACCCATTTTGTTACCATTACTGTGAGGGCCTTTGTCCTCAGTGCTCTGAGGAAGACCGCATAAGGTAATGTTGTGTCATTTCTTTATAATAACCTAAATAATAACCAGTAAGATAAGGACTGTGTAAGTTATCTTGCATTGATGAGAGTGTGGTACATTGTAGAATTATATTTCTAAAAAGGAAAAGAAAAGAAATTCGGGGAAAAAAAACATTGAAAAAGAAATTGTTTGTCTAGAGTCACTTTTTATAGTTGGAATGTAACAACATTTGTCATTTTTTATTGATTGCTCAATATCAAGCAGATGGGTCTTTAATATGAGAGAACAACTAAATAACTTTATAAGAAGTACAGTATAGACCTGCTCTAACACAAGTCCCATTTGGTCACCCTTTATTCTGTTTCAACGGTGGTATGAACCAAAAGAAACAGATTTTGCAGTGATTTAATTACAATAAATGGATTGAAATGATGCCAATTCATATCAAAATGTATCTCTGGACACTTTTCAGATAGAGCAGGTCAAGACCATACTCCTAATAAAATTATTTAAGAAACCCAACAGTTTTCCTGAGCTATGAGCCACAACACTAGCATGGCTGTTAAAAACTAAATTGATACCCAGTTATCATATTTTCATGCAAGTAAATTGACCATAAAAGTCAAATATTGCATCTTTTATCCTCTGTTCCTCTTCAGGTTCACAGGTCCAGAGTACTGTGGGATTCTGAGCGATAAGAAGGGACCATTCTCTGGTTGTCATAGTAACCTGCCAGTAGCAGAGTTTGTGTTAGACTGTTTGTATGATGTCTGTATTAATGAAGGACGGCTTGAAGTACTGTGTGAGGCCCTGAGCAGTTACATGACAGAGTGCCAGGAAGCTGGAGTGTCAGTATTACCATGGAGACAACTAGCCAACTGTTGTGAGTTACTGTACATACAGTACACTTATATAGACTAAAATACCACAGACAGACATAAAGGTACTCACTTATGTGATTCTGCCATAGTGTGCATTATTTTGAGATAATCTCAAACTTTAAGCTAGTTTCAGCCAGCATTTATGAGATAGTAATAATCTTATTCATCATTAACATCTCTCTGTTTTTCCTTTTTCTAATATTTTTCTCACCCCTGTTGAGCATGCAGCTGTTACCTGTCCAAGCAATAGTCACTACAAAGTTTGTGGTTCAGCCTGTCCATCCAGCTGTAGTCCTCAGCCAGAGCTGTGCCCTAAGGTCTGTGTGGAAGGCTGCTTCTGTGACACAGGATATGTGCAGAGTGGAAGAGAGTTAGTATAACATTTTTCACCAAGTATTTAAGGATATAATATTAATATAACAAATGTCTTCCTCAAAGACCTCTTTCCTGCACTCACATTGACATAATTCTGTTCCGTTTTTTGTTTCATCTCATGCAAGAACTGATACAATGACTGCAAATCATAATAATTACAATTATTATTATTAATGCCTGAGCACAAAATCGTGCAAGGCCTACCGTATCTGTAGGAATTATTAGGGCCCGAGCACAAAATCGTGCGAAGGCCCTGTTGTATCTGTAGGAATTATTGTAATTATTATACAGACATTTCAAATGGCTTTTAGGAGGCTTTATCATATTTGAAAAGTCCTGAAAACCTGCACGCAGGTCAGTCGTGGCGAAACTTGGTAATTTTATGTGGCTCTGACATATGCACGTAAAAATGGCTCGACAGCACCCCCTATTGAGCAGCCCCAAATGTTTCACCTATGAGTATGAAAAGTGGTACACATGTAGATCACGTCCTGACGTACAAAGAAATTACTCTTGGGGCCATATCCCAAACCCAAAAGGAAGTCGGCCATTTTGGATTTAGCTGCCATTTTTGGCATTGTATTTTAACAACCTCCTCCTAGGGAACTTATCGGATCAACTTCACATTTGGACACTGCCATCTAAAGACATTCATGATTAACAGTCGTGCTGTTTGTGACTGTGTCAAATGGCAGGAAACAGGAAGTTGTCACAACTTCAGTGTACATGGTCCAATCTCAACGAAACTTCACACATTTGATAAGAGTCCCGCCCTAAATGCCTCTATGTGATAATATTCAGTCATACTCATAACGGCCCTTACTGGCAACAGGAATTAAATGTTTTATACTTAATGTTCTACTCCTAGGTTCATCAGATCCAGCTGAAATTTGGTCAGAAAATGCAAAATATATTGTTGATGATATGTGATGAATGTGGTGAGTTGTTGTTAGCGTGGCGTCAAACGTGTACGCTCATGAATTTGGTGGGTAAAAGAGTCAGTGACAAAGGCGGTACCAGGCCTGGTTAATGAGGCCAGCTGCAGATGGGAAGAAGCGAGAGGTTTTGGTCCTGACGGACCGCAGCCTCCTGCCAGAGGGTAGAATCTCAAAGAGTCTGTGTCCAGGTGGGACGGGTCAGCCACAATCTTGCCTGCACACTTCAGGGACCTAGAGGGGTACAGGTCCTGGAGGGATGGCAGAGCATTCGCTGTGCCTCCTGCATGTTGGCCTGCGGTGGAATGTAAACACCGACCAGAATGACTGAAACGAACTCACGGACACACCTTTGCCCACAATGTCCAAAATTTCAAAGGAAGAAATAGAAAGAGTTTCAGGTATCACAGCCGAAAACTGAGTTAACAAACAAAACAAGAATAAACAAAGCGCACCAACACACCGAGGCGACTGTCCATAGCGCTATCTTAGATGTAAATGGCTCGATAGCGCCCACTACAAACTTGAATATAAATAAATATAAATTTGAATATAATGTAAAATTCTGCCGCTATTTCCAGGCCTTGTTTTCATTAGAACTGGGACACTAGTTAAATACTAGTTATTTAACTACGATAATAATTGGATGGGGTGTGTTGTTGACATTTTTAAAAATTGTTTACTAAAACCTTTTTTATTGAATGCAGTTTTAATATGCTATGCATTAGTTAAAAGGTGTGTGTTTACATATTCTTAATCATTTTGAAGCTCTTCATTTTTATTATGGTGAAGCAGGGTAACTTAACAGGATTCAGGGGCCCATAAGCACATTTTTCCCCTTTGCCCCCATTAGTTAATCTGGTCACAGGATAATATTAGACTTTTGATTTGTGAGATACCAGTCGGAATTATTAAGGTAGATGTATTAAAGTAAAACTAAAACGCAAAATATCCAATCCAATCCAATCCACTTTATTTATATAGCATGATTTTAACAAAAACAAGGTTTCCAAAGTGCTGCACAAAAAGATTCAATGTTCAATTTACTGTTATTTGTATAGCGCCAGTTCATAACAGCTTTTCAAATAGAGCAGGTCTAGACCGAACTCCTTATAACATTATTTACAGAGACCCAACAGTACCACCATGAGCAAGCACTTGGCGAGAAGGGCAAGGAAAAACTGCCCGTTAAAAGGCAGAAACCTAGGACAGATCCTTCCGCTCTAGGTGGGTGGTCGTCTGCCTCGACCAGTTGGGGTGAGAGAGAGAGAGAGAGAGAGAGAGAGAGAGAGAGAGAGAGAGAGAGAGAGAGAGAGAGAGACAGACAGGTGCACAGTCAAACAGGACCATGGCAGGAGGCTCCACCAGGATCAATGAGAACCTGCAAGACGAGAAAAGCACAAGAACTCCGGGGAAGAAGTGAAGTTAGTAACATGCAGTAATGGGACATGAATGAGTGCAGAAAGAGAGAGGAAGAGATTAACAGAGTAAATAGATAACACAATAGAAGCACAATAGAAAGATGAAGTACACATTAGAAAAATAAAAGCAATAAAATAAATAAGTAAAATAAATAAAATGCACTGCCCGCACACAAGAAAATATATATGTATACACCTAAAATCAACATAAAATATTCAGCTGTCAATTTGTTGACAGTCTGTGAAGTCATTGTTTCATCACACCTCCATAAAGCATTTGTTATAAAGGAAATGGAGAAGTCATGAAAAATCTTCAACTTGGACTGGGAATACTTATTCTCTTACTAACCTTTTTTTTTTGTCAGGTGTGTTGTCAAGGAGACTGGCTGTGGCTGTAACCATGATGGCAGATATTACCTGCCCGGTGAGGTGTTCTGGGCTGACACACAGTGTGACAAGAAGTGTGTGTGTGATGCAGCAACACAAAAGGTGCAATGTGAGCGGACTGCCTGTCGAACCGGACAGATATGTGGTGTCGTAGATGGAGTCCGAGGCTGTTACCCAATCAGCTTTAAGATTTGCACTGCACACGGAGATCCACACTTCTACACCTTTGATGAACGCAAGTTTGACTTTCAGGGCAACTGTGTCTACAAGCTGGCCAGTGTGTGTGGAGATAGCAAAGGTCTGACGCACTTTGAGGTGAGCTGACACTATGCACCAGACTTTTTTTGGGATTGCATTGCGATTTTTTTCACAAAATTTGAAGGCAACTTGTTATTATTTATACAGACTAAAATACTACAGATAGACATAAAGTTTCTCACTTGTGTGATGATTGTGTGTATTATTCTGAGATGGTTTCAGCTGACTCCGTTTTGGGATTTTTTTGGAGCGAAAACAGAAAAAGTATAAATATTTTCATTTTACAGCAGAAAAAGATTGGAGCAAAGATGCTGATGAATTGAAAGATAAATTGATAAAAGACATTTCAATATGTTTGTCAAAAATGTAACTTTTTTAAACCAGCATTTATCCAGCCCAGCACAGAACAAGCCTTTCTACAATCACAAACCTATTGTGATTGTAGAAAGGGGGTATAAGTCAAAAGAACAAAATATTACTCTTATAATAATTAAAAAATCAAATGTATTGGTCTTCTTCATTCCTTCCATGTTCCCCTCTCCTGCCTTCTATCTGTCTCTACACTACTTTTGGTGAATTGTAGGTGAACCTGGAAAATAACAACCGTGGCAACAAAAGAGTGTCATACGCTAAAGTGGTGACTGTTAAAGTCTATGGCAACACCTATACACTTTCACTGGACTATCCAGGCAAAGTGCTGGTGAGAAACATGCATAAATACACATGCACACACACATACCATGAGTGTTAACAGAGTCAGCCCACTACCAAGCACATTTATGTTGCTGCGCGCCTTTGCGCATGCTAGTGCTTCATTTGCATTCATCCATGAATTGAAGTGAATTGAATTGAATTGAAAATGTGGATCACAAATGAGATATCACTGGAAAGAGCATGTCCTTTACACAACACTATGGGTTTCATTACTGTATGGTAATTGAAGTGTAGAGGAGACATACACCAGCCATAACATTATGACTACCTGGGCACCCTGGAATTAAAATCCAATTTTTGTGTGCACAATATAATTACAGTGACTGTGACAGTGATTTATATGTATGTTTGCTGCCTCTCTCTGTGTGTGTGTGTGTGTGTGTGTGTGTGTGTGTGTGTGTGGTCTGTAGGTGGATGGGCTTGAAAAGTCTCTACCATTCTCATCCAATCAATCACTGGTCCAGGTTTATCGCAGACACAGACTGGCTGTCCTTGAGACACACTTTCTTAAGGTATAAACACACACATCCACATATACAGTAAACCGTAATTTAGGTGCATCCAACCCAACTACACTAACCTTGGTCTTAACCTTAACCTGATTATATCCAAATACATATTTTTTTAACAGAGCGTATTTAAAATGGACTTTGAATCTGAGAAAAGTCTCTGATTTTTTACAGGTCACATAATTGCCTCCAAATAGCTGCATAAGCTACTGTTGTACATGTCTGACTACAATGAGTGTACAGAAGGTGCTGACAGTTTAGAAATGATGATAAAGGGTAAAAACTCGAACAACACTTCTGGTATTAAAGGTGGGCTCAGTTGTTCTGGAGTGTCATTCCCAGGTTGTCGCTTTCGGTTATGGTAAGCAGGAGAGAAACAAAGTGAGTGGGTCAGAGCAAGCCATACCACATTGTCAAATATCTCTACTCAATAATCAATCTTCAAGTCACCAACCCAAAGTCAGCCTTTGACGAACCTGGGAATGATACTCAACAATCAATTATCTTTATTCAGGATGACTGACCCTATCTTCAAGACCAGGGATTAAATTGAGATTTGTTATGTATGGAAGCTGTGCAGTTTCAAGGTTGGCATGGATTTTGTTGAGAGATTTCAATACATGCTAGCTTGTTTGACAGTTTAACTTAATCAATCATTTGAAGCTAGCTTAATGTAACAGTCAGCTAACAAAGACTGACGGCAACCTGCTACAAACTGCTAAAAAAGTATCATTTTGCAAAACTGCTAAGGAGGGAAAAACAACAAAACAAGAAATGCCTGTGAAAGGTATAGTTTTTGCAAGTTGTTATACCACCATATTTAGGCCTATGTCCATTACCGCTACAAAGAAAACATATTTTCGACATTATTTGAATATTAAGACCAAAAAAAGTGTAAAAATTTATACATTGTTGGGTGCCTGGTTCGCTCAGTCGGTAGAGCTGGCGACCCATGTACGGAGTTGCTGCAGCGGCCCAGGTTCGAATCCGACCTGCGGCCCTTTGCTGCGTGTTATCCCCTCTCTCTGCCCCCCTTTCCTGTCTATCTTTGGCTGTCACTATCGAATAAAGGCAATAAAAGGCCAAAAAAAAAACTATAAAATATAAAAATATATATATATATATACATTGTTGAAGATGTGCAAAGTTGTGCATCCCCTGATGATACAGAAGAGCATAGGTCTATGTGCCCAATTAACTCCCTGATTAAGACCAATTTAGTTGTGAAAATAACACATTTTGGCTTGTGGCCCTTGTAAATAATTCTGTTACAAGACATTTTATAAAATAAAGGTTATTAAGCTGAGCCATTAAGGTGGCAATGGCAATTTTCTGATAAAAAGCACAAATAAGTGCATATGGAAAATCACTTTCAAATTTGTGAAACGTGTGCACCAGACAATTTTGTTCTTATCACAATGCCTATGTTAGTGAATCAGAATCAATATTTTAAGTTTATTGGAGATTGGACACACACTGAAGTTATGAGCACTATTTTATGGCGAATCTGCTGAAATGGACAAGTTGTCACTGGCACGCGGTTTAATGTACAGTCACAGCTCAACTTTTCAATCAGTTTGTATGACGACAGAATTCAAAGTGGCCAACTTTGACCTCACGCCACAGACACGCCGTTCAACGTACAGTCTCAAATAGCACAACTTTTAATCAGCACCATTTTTTGACTGTACTGACCAACTTTGAAGCAGATCCGATAAATTCCCTAGGAGGAGTTTGTTCAAATACAAGGCGAAAAATTCACCGCAAATGCGCACGGAATTCACTATGGCCAACTTTGAGGGCACGCCACGGACACACCCTTCAACATAGATGCACAAATAGCACAACTTTTAATCAGAACCATTTTTTGACTGTATTCACAAATTTTGAAGCATATCCGATAAATTCCCTAGGAGGAGTTCGTTCAAATACAACGGCAAAAGTTCGCCGAAAGTGAAACTTTAAATCAAAATGGCCGACTTCCTGTGGGGTTTCGGGTATGGGTCCAAGAGGCTTTTTTGTACGTCCCGGCATGTTTCACGTGCCTACCGAGTTTCGTACATATCGGTGAAACGTGGCGCTGGGGCTGCTGTTTTTTTATCCTGTAGGGGGCGCTACACACACGACAAACACGATTTTTGGTATGTGAGCTTCAGGCACTACTCTACACGTGCCCTGTGAATTTCATATTCATAACTATTACGGTCTCCGCACAGTGATTTATCATGCCAAAAGAGCGCCACCTAGTGGCGTATTTTTTTTCCTTTTTAAGGGAGCCTCAGGGAGCCATGGGGAAGCATCGTACCAAGTTTTATTTAAATCACACATAACTATGCAGAGATATAAATGTTTTACTTTTAAAGAGCGCCACCTTGTGGCGGTGGCATCAAATTGTTCAAGACTATGCACAATGCCTAAGGAAGACATGGGGAACTATGGACCCAAGTTTGGTGTCAATCGCACATACCAATGTGGAGAAATAGTCCACTTCCTTTTTTGACGAAAAATCTACAGGAAGTCTTAATTTTATAGCGCGCTTATTTTTAGAAATTTCAAAAATGTTCAAATTACTTTTTTTACCAGGGCGGTCCCCAGGTGCTAGGTGAAAAATTTTGTGCAAATCAGACAAAGCGTGTAGGAGGAACATGAAAAAGTAATTCACAGACATTTCGCACTGTAGCGAAGAAAAATTATGGGCGGAAGTGGGCGGGGCCTATATGGGGAGATTGAGCTCCATTCACTGAACGCGTGGATATAAGTTTTTTGAATGTGCGACAAACGATGTGGGAGTTATTAAGTATCAAAAAAGTCGTTGCTATTTCCTTAATAGTAGCGCCACCTAATGGCCGACCCATAAGTGATACATAGAATATCAAATTTTTCACCAGGCCTGACAACTTTGCCAAATAAAACTGAGTTTTAGTATATGTAGGGGGGGAAAAACGCAATCAATGTTCCTAAAAATAATAATAATAGGTAAGAAATCGAGCAAAAACAATAGGGACCTTGCCGGTCGCTGGCTCGGTCCCTAATTATGAAAAACTATACAAAATAAATGTATATAGTAAAACATTAAAATGTTAATAACCTATTTATCTAGATATAATATAATGAATAATGATAATAATTATTTAAGTATAAATATTAAAATCATAAAATTATAAATCACTACATAAAAGTCAGACTGAATAGATGTGTTTATTTTAGTGTAAAAATATAAAAACTTCTCCCAGGACCTGAGCTCATACGATCTCATACTTGGTGGCGATTTTAATTGTTGGCTCGATCCTGTGCTCGACCGATCTTCTCCAAACCCTGGTTTAATGAGTTTCCTAGACAACTATGGTGCCACAGAAATTATGGCGATATCTCCATCCAAACGAGAGGGAGTACTCATTCTTCTCTCATTCCCACCATACCTTCTCTAGGATTGACTATTTTCTTGTTGACAATCAACTGATCCCATGTGAGTATCAGAGTATAGTGATATCTGACCATGCCCCGGTGGTACTGCCCATGACTCTGCAAGACCTCCCGTTTGTAGAGAGACATTGGTTTTAATTCAACTCTACTGTCCAATAATGACTTCGTCAAATTTATGGAGGAGCAGATAACCCTCTTCTTTGATACAAATACATCATCTGAAACGTCCAACCTGACCATTTGGGATGCTTTGAAAGCCTACCTTAGGGGACAAATTATTTATTTTACTGCAAATATGAAAAAGAGAGCTCAGAAAGAACGACTAGAGTTATCTAATATAATTAGAACCCTGAACTATACAAAAAACGTGTGGGACTCCTAAACTACTTTTACCTCCTCTCAACGCATTCAGTTGAACACCAACTATTGCGGAGCAAGAGTCTGTTTTATGGTCATGGCAACAAATCTGGTAAAATGTTAGCCAATAAGCTGAAGGGATTTAAAGCAAAACAGCACATCTCAAAAATCCAGATGGATGACGGTAACATCAACTCAGATCCCTCTAAAATCAATGACACATTTACAGACTTTAACACTTCTGATCTCCCAAATGACAACACACTGATGGAAAGTTTCCTAAGTGTGTTGTTTACATCTCCCCACCCTTACCCATGACAATAGGACTAGGTTGGACGAGCCTATATCGCAGGGGGAGATAGCAGCCGCTATTTTCAATTCAATTAAATTTTATTTGTATAGCGCCAATTCATAACAGAAGTTATCTCAGGACACTTTTCAAATAGAGCAGGTCTAGACCGAACTTTTTATATCATTATTTACAGAGACCCAACAGTACCACCATGAGCAAGCACTTGGCGACAAGGGCAAGGAAAAACTGCCTGTTAAAAAGCAGAAACCTAGGACAGATCCTTCGGTTCTAGGTAGGTGGTCGTCTGTCTCGACCAGTTGGGGTGAGAGAGAGAGAGAGAGAGAGAGACAGACAGACAGACAGACAGGTGCACAACAACAACAGTATTGGTAATGGCAATCTAGCAGGACCATGGCAGGAGGCTCCATCAGGATTGATAAGAACCTGCGGGACGAGAAAGCACAAGAACTGCGAGGAAGAGTGAAGCTATCTCCTCATTGCAATCTGGGAAATCTCCAGTTTTTCAAAACGTTTTCTTTGTTACTTTCCCCTCACCTAAGTTCAGTGCTATCAGAATCCTTCAACGGGGCAAACTGCCAGCATCACTATATGAGGCATGCATCACTCTTATTGTAAAGAAGGGTAAGGACCTAACGGAGTGCTCCTCCTATAGGCCAATCTCCTTATTAAATAACGATTTTGGCAAAAGTTTTGGTCCCTACCATTGATCATATCAGAGGATCAAACTGGCTTTGTAAAAAAACTGCACCTTATTTCAATATACGTAGTTTATGTGACATTTTGTACTCACCCTCTGAGGCAGTTCCAAAATGTGTCCTTTCTCTAGACGCAAAGAAAGCGTTTGACCGCATGGAGTGGAAATATTTATTTGCAGTCTTAGAAAAATTTGGCTTTGGACCAAACTACATTAGGTGGATTAAACTGTTATTTACAAGACCAACTGCTTCTATCCGTACCAACTCTCAACGGTCCCAACCTTTCAATCTTCATAGAGGAACCCGTCAATGATGCCCTTTAAGCCCATTGCTTTTTGATCTGGCCATAGAGACTCTAGCAGCATTTCGCAGCTGTCAAATATTTCAGGGATTTTGAGGAAAGGAATTGAACATGAAGTGTGTGGTGTATTTTCGTGGCTGCCAAAAGTTGGTCTGTGGATGACTGAAAAAGAAAAGGTCTGCCACTCTTCTTGCTTTAAGTTAGGAGTAAATGTTCAGACTCTACTAAATCACGTGAAAGAGCGCTTGATGCAGTCCTTCATTCTGTCCAACCCTTTCTTTCAACCTTCACTATCTGATTCTGTATTCCAAGAATGGCACAGAAGGGGCATCGATAAGTTCAAAGATCTTTTTATTGGTAATCATTTTGCATCATTTGCACAATTGTCTGAAAAGTTCAGCCTACCAAATGCATTTTTCAGATACTTGCAGGCGACACACTTTCTCCATTCTCAGATACCTAGTTTACCTGAAGCAACCACTGTGACCACTGCCGATGTGTTGCTTGGTCTGCACCCATCGCGCAAGGGCTTAATATCGGCCATCTATGACAAATTGATGGGCATAAAACGGGCTCCTCTGGACAAAATTAAAACTGCTTGGGAGCAGGATTTGAACCTCTCACTGTCAAACGATATATGGGATTACATTTTCACGCTGCTAAATTCAACATCTCTCTGTGCACGTCACTGCCGGTTACAGTTTAAGGGGGTGCACAGGGCTCATATATCTGAAGTCAAATTATCTCATATGTACTCAGATGTTGATTCCTTGTGTGACAAATGTAAGAGAGGTGAGGCTTCACTTACTCACATCTTCTGGACGTGTCCCAGCCTGGAAAGATACTGGAGAGATGTTTTCCAAACCATGTCCCTCATTCTTAATCTTGAGCTAGAACCCAACCCACTTATTGCCCTTTTTGGCACCACTGGTGAGGATGACACACCCCTAACCCCAACCAAAAGTCACACACTGTCCTTCCCCTCTCTTTTGGGTAGCCGAGCAGTACTACTAAGATGGAGAGATGCTGCTCCGCCCACACAAGCTCAGTGGCTTAGGGACATCATGTCCTGTCTAGACCTTGAAAAGATCCGCTACTCAGTTCAGAGGGTGTGGGGGCGGCTGTGGCGCAGAGGCAGAGCGGGTTGTCCCCTAATCGGAAGGTTGTTGGTTCTATCCCCGGCTCCTCCTGTCACATGTCGAGGCATCCTTTGAGCAAGATACTGAACCCCGAATTGCTCCTGATGCCATGCATCGGTGTATATTCATACACCGATGCATTTGACTGGAGATTCTCAAAGTTTTTTTTTAGTTTCTCAAACAGAAACTAACTCATTCGAGTTAGTTTCTGTTTGATGGACTTTGCGATCACTGAGTAAATGTGTGTGAAAGGGTGAATGTGGCACGTAGTGTAAAAGCGCTTTGAGTGGTCGGAAGACTAGAAAGGCACTATACAAGTACAGGTCCATTTACCATTTACTTTTTAGAAAAACTTTGAGAATCTCCAGTCAAATTGAAGGATTTTCCTTTCCTCTGTTCTTTGCTTGTCTCTCTGTCAGTTACATAGTCTATATCAATCAATGTCTAAATTTGCCTTCTTCTACTTATCTATCTTTATTTATCTATTCATTCTGTTTTTTTTTTATTATTGTTATTTACTTATCTTGCAATTTAATACTTGACTTCCAACTGTTTCCTACAATACTCCAGGAACAATACTCAGTAGGAAATATGGTTTGTAGATGTGGCTAGTGGGAGGGGAGCAGGATTTGTGTTTTATCACTTTTATACTTAATACTGTTGTCTATTAAAGCTTGTGATATTATGTGCCTAGACAGCTGGGGTTTCATCATTTAATGCATACACATGGTCTGAGACTATACTACACTACTATCCAGTGTCTGTCAGTGATGTGTTTTTACCCTTAAATACTGCTAATATGTTTCACCTTGAACCTTTAAACATTTATAGAAGTTCTCTTTTATATATTTATATACTGTTCAAGGTCTCCTTTGACTTCGCAAGTGCAGTGAGGGTGGAGCTGGCATCTAGTTATCAAAATGCAACCTGTGGTCTCTGTGGAAACTTTAATGATGATCCTGCTGATGACCTAATGCTGCCCAATGGACAGCTGGCTTCCAATGCCAATGAGTTTGGAGTGAGCCAGTGGCTGGCAAACGTAAAGGGCTGCTCCCATGAGTGTAAGCAGCTGATAATAGTGTTATTTATCTTTAATATTGTGCTGTGCATGGTTAGTCTTGATGGCAATCTTACTAGGCTAAATGTAGTAACATTTTAGTGACACTTTTATAAAATTTTATAAATTTCTTAAATGCTATTGAACTCAAACTTATCTGTACTACAAGAACTTGTACCCACTTTCCACAAACTTAAACCTAGTGCTAGTTCTGGGCTGGTGGAACCAGTTGGCTTTTCCATGGGCTAGAGAGCCGATATAAATCATTACATAAGGCTAAGCTAGCTGGCTAGCTAGCTAGCTGTCGGTGAACTAACATTACCCCAAGCAAGCATGCTTTTTTCTCGCATCAATGTTACTAACCTCAAACATTACATTAATGTTACAAACATTAATATAACTAACCTCAAATATAACATTAATGTTACAAACAGCTATGCTTGCTTGGGTTATGTTAGCTGAGCCGGTTCTTTGCCTGTCGAAATCCAACATAAAAAGAACTGGTTCAAGATTAGGCACCAGCTCTGAACCACTGCCTTTGTGGATATGGGGTAGGTGTCAGTGAATTACCTACAATTTCGATTTTTATAGCCTCACCCGCTGCATATTATGTAGGCAAAATCAGATGTATAGAATTTATACACTTCATTTGCACACACAAACATGACTGTAATGTATAATGCTTTTAATAATATTGATGTTTTCCTGCTGCCAGGTAAAGACTGTGCTCAGCCTCTCCCTCCTGACTTCACACCACCAAGCTACACATCAGTTTGTGATGTTATAACAGCAAAGGATGGACCCCTGGCTGACTGCGTCGGCCGAGTGGATTCCAGGCAGTACCACGACGACTGTATCTATGACATGGTGCTTAATGATGACAAACAGAAAGCAGCTTGTGACATCATCAGCGACTATGTGGAAGAGTGTCAGAGAAAAGGAGGCTGTGTGAAGTCATGGAGGACGAGACACTTCTGTTGTAAGTGCTTTCTAAATGTGTATTTGGTAGGTTTTTGTCGTGCTCTGTCATAGATAATATGATTATGTTGGGGGAAGGAGCGTGACGTAATTGCATTGCACTGAGAGTGTGTCAGCTTGCGTGGCTGCTGCAGAGCTGCTACTGCCCCACTAGAACCCTACTTTAAAATACCAAAACTATCCTCTTTGAAATACTTCCCCCTGGCAATAGGCTGCGGTCTATCAGGACCAAAACTTCACACCACAAGATCAGTTTCTTTCCGTCTGCAGCTGGCCTTATAAACAAGGCCTGGAACCCCCACTGACACTGACACTGACTCTTAAACCCACCCTGTATATATGCATTACATTAATGCACTCCCGTTGGTTTTTTATCCTGCACATTGTAAATATATTTCCTGTACAGTTTGGATCTTTCTATCTTTATCCTTATCTTTATTTATTTAAATTTTTAGAAAGTATTTTATTTGCTTGTGATTTTTATGCACCAGTGCACCAAGACAAATTCCTTGTACGTGTAAAAACGTACTTAGCAATAAACCCGATTCTGATTCTGATTCTGATCCCTTTGATTTCTAAATACTTAATATGTACATAGAGCTATCATGGCATTGTGGCAACATGTTTTCTACTCCCCTGCTGTCGTCCATCCTGGATTGTTTGTGAACAGAAAACCTATTGTCTATTGTTGCCCCAGCTGGTGGAACACATATGTCTTAATATTAGGGCTGTCAATCGATTAAAAAATGTAATCTAATTAATTACATACCCTGTGATTAATTAATCTAAATTATATATAATTTTTGCTGTGAAAGTATTTTAAATATTTCAATTCAAATGAATCAATGAATAATCAGCATTAGAGACATTAAAGTTCAAAAACTATTTTATTATTATTTTCACAGCTCAAATAATGGCCATAATAATCTACAATATGACCTAATATGCTGAGGAAATGAATTCAAAAGTGCTTCAGGAAGAAGTTTTTTTTGTCACAAAACCCACTGTCTGCGAGGCAAACAATTCAATTCAATTCAATTCAGTTTTATTTGTATAGCGCCAATTCATAACAGAAGTTATCTCAGGACACTTTTCAAATAGAGCCGACCGAAGTGATGCTTCTCTGTAACATATGAGCAACACAAGGCATGTGCTCATATGGAAGTTTCTCGCGGCAGCAATCATGTTTCAGGCGCTGTCTGTGCCAACTGTGGTGATCTTTTGTTGAACTCCCAATGCCTCCGCCACAGACAGAAACTGCTGGGCGCAGGCATCGGCGTAATGCCTGTTGCTGTTTTTAGCATTAGTAATGCAAATGACTGGAGTTTCCACTCACAGTCAATGGTGTGTGCCGTAACACCAAGGTAATTGTTTAGTGTTTTTTTTAAACTTTGTTTAATGGGGTTTTTTTCACAACAGAACAAAGACATACAGACACACTCAGAACAGAATTCCCACCCCAAAAAGTAAATAAAAAAATAATAATAAAAAAAAAAAAAATGAGTAAATCTAAGACAATGCATGTTAAATTTGTTGTAAGAGAGGACATATATACACATGATGACAGAGAGAGAGTCTTACCAAAGAAAAAAAAATTAGAAAAGTACATACAGAGTAAAATCCAAGCGGGTTGTCACCTAAATAAAGTGAAGCCAGCGGTTATCCTAATTAGATTGTTTCATGCAGCTCTGATTTCTCTTCCACGTATCTCAAAAAAGGTTGCCAAATCTCATAAAATTTGCCAGATGAACCTCTAAGTGTATGTTTTATTTTTCCAATTTCATATAAAATAAAATACTCCTGATCCATAGTGTGTGGGATGGAGGGATGGCATCTTTCCATTTCAGAAGGATTAGGCGGCGGGCAAGCAAAGTACAGAAAGCCAGAAAGTCACACTGAGAGTTATTCAAACTGTAGACAACAGAAGGTACTCCAAAAAGGGCTATGACGGGACAGGGGGCTATAGACACCTCTAGGAGTGTTTTAAACATCAAAGTCCAGTAAGTCGTCAGCTTGGGGCAGCTCCAAAATGTGTGTCAGTATGAGGATGGGTTCATTTTACAACGATTGCACGCTGGATCTATGTCTGGGAATCTCTCTGATAACTTCTCTTTGGTCCAGTGAGCCCGATGCAATATTTTACACTGTAGTATTCCGTGCCTTGCACAGATAGGACTCTTTTTAATATTGCATCCCAAGTTTCATCATGTATGATCTCACCTATATCCTGCTCCCATCTATGTATAATAGTGGCAAGGGACAGGGTTCTTTGGGATGAAAGTGCACTATATAGGTTAGATATTATACCTTTAAACGACTGGACAGGTGCCAATAGAGAGTCAGTATCAGAGCTTGGGGGAATTTCTGGAAAGTGAGGCAGCTGTTTACGCATGAAATCACGCAACTGTAAGTATCGAAAGAAGTGTGTATGTGGGATAAGAAATTTAGTGCGCAATTGCTGAAAAGAGGCAAAGAAACCATCTATAAAAAGGTTATGCTGTGTGCGCAATCCCCTGTTTTGCCACTGCAGAAACACACTGTCCTGAAGGGAGGGAGGAAACATGATTTGCATGGATTGGGGATTTCAATGAGAAACTATGCCATCCATAGTGCCGGCGAACCTGCTTCCATATTTTAAGTGTTGTTCTGACCAAAATATTTCTTGTATACAGGGCGGTGTCTGAGGCTAGAGGTGCATAGATTAATTCTGACAATGTGGACGGGGCACAGAATCTAGCTTCAAGAGTGCACCATGAGGGGGCGTCGGCACCTGGATCCTCATATAGCCAATGGAGAACAGGTCGAATATTAGCAGCCCAATAATACAACTGAAAATTGGGCAGAGCCATACCACCTAGCACCTTTGGATATAGTAAATAGGCTCTGCTCAGTCGCAGACTTTTATTATTCCAGATGAAGCTGGACATAAGTCCCAGATAGCAAAACGTGATTGAATCAACATTGAGACAACTTTTATTTTTAGCACACACCTTTTCATCTGGTGGGCTGTGGCTCAGAGGCAGAGCGGGTCGTTCCTTAATCAGAAGGTTGTGGGTTCGATCCCTGGCTCCTGGTGCCACATGTCGAAGTATCCTTGAGCAAGATACTGAACCCCAAATTGCTCCCGATGCCATGTGTATGAATGTTAGTTTTGGAAGACTAGAAAGGCGCTATACAAGTACAGGTCCATTTACCATCTTGTAAGGTTTCCTGTCTGGCTTGGGTGGAGAATTATCTATTTGCCCTGAAACTCCAGGGGACACAAACATGGCAAATGTCCTTCAGAAATAGGACCACACTTCAACATGAACAAACATCTTAATGAATTATCTGGCTACCTTTGCCCTGAAAATCCAGGGGACACAAACATTATAAATAGGACCCCAGTTCAACATGAACTGAACATAAGAGCATAGTAGCTTTAAATATTCAACTCATTTGTCCTTCTTTGCCTTTTCTTTTCTTGGTACCCCGCCACTCCTCTCATCAGATCATATTTTCGGCGTTGGTCACTATTGGTGACTAATGCCAAGCGGGTAATCTTAACAGATCAGAGAGAAAATGGTTAGTTTGCTAAAATGTACAATGTGCCGTGTCAAATGGACAGAGTATTGCATTTAAAGGGATAGTTCAGATTTTTTTGACATGAGGTTGTATGACATCCTCACCATCATTTTCAGGCATCAGCAGTGACTTTTCCCCCACTGCATCCTGTGAGCGGAGTTCTGGCCGGTTTCGGTGTTGCAGAAAGTAGTTCTGGCTAGTTGCTGGGGTCACGGAGAGAGGTCTGTTGACTCTAGCTCTGCCAAGAAGTTTCCACAAAAGCCTAAATGAGATAACACAAAACATCAACTATGTATAAACTATGAATATGCTATAACTCAGACAAAGCGCATTTAAAATCTGTCCACCCTGAGGTAGTAATGTGAAGTGGTTCACTTTCCATTATAAGGCTGATCAAATGACTGAGTAGCTTCCTCTAGAGGCTAAAAGAAGGGAACACAAGACAGGAATAGAGCTTTAACTTTTCAACACATATCACATGACTGATATGTTTGCATGTATTGACAGAGGAACTAAATGCTTGCTCACATGCAATTACATTTTGTTTCTGCCATTGTAATAAGAAATGACATACCACTGCTTGCATCTGGGGTTGGTAGAGAGGGGTACTGGTTGGAGTCTGGCAGCACTGTATTAACAAATAAGTAGAATTATATATGGCAATAAATAACAATAAAAATATTATATATATATTATAATAATTATTTTATTACTCAGGCTCTTACAAAATATTTTAAAAGATCTTAACTTAACAAGAAAGAGAAAAAGACAGAACAATAATTTCCCGTGTCCTTTCCAGTTGCAATGTTCAGCTATACTATAGCTACACTACAGGTAGCCCTGTTGAGGGATTTTTCAGTAAAGGCTTGTTGTTTTCACCATTTCCCCAGGCTAAATCCCCCCACAACATGCCTCACTGTAGTAAAAGTTTCCATAACGTTATTCACTAGAGGTGGGCGATATATATCGTTTACAATAATATCGTCATTGTTGTTTTGACGATGTGCAAATTTCCATTATCGAGTATTTAAATTACTTCGACAAAAACAATGAAACGCCCGCGGAAACTCCTCACATCCATTAATACACGGTGCAGCAGCGCTCTCTACAGCATGGCAGGATTCAGTCACACAACTAGTGGGCCTACGTGATCACATGACATGATCACATGACCTCTCGCTAGCATCCTCCTTGCAACAGTTTAGCAGCGCGTTGTGATGGTAGAGAGAAAATGCAAGCACATCCAGTCCCTGAAGCTACCGGTATGTCAGATGATTTAGTGCCGAGACGTGGGTCCTATGGGCTTCAGCGTTCAGAGCGCTAAGCGCCTTCAGCGGTAAAAAGATGTCAGCGGAGACGTTTTTTTTAGCGCAGCGCTCAGAGTGCTTCAAGTTGAAATCTGTTCAACTTTTAACACCGCTGGGCGCTCGGAAAATG